CTGCTGACGGCTGGCATGGGAAGGCGACGTCAGGGTCTTCCGTGCTGGACTGCTTCTCTCTGCCTTCATGGCTGACGCACTCCTGTCAATTCCTCTCTGTCGCAGGAATCCACATGGTTTCGGAGTTGTTTTCTGAAAAAATACAAACATATTCTCGACCAAAAGTTAATAAAGGAATATTTTCTATAAATTTGACTTGGGATCCTTTTTTTCATTTTTTGCCCAAATGATTTTCCTCTGGCTTGTTTGTATGTCCTCTTTGGAGAAACGTTTATTCCGGTTCTCTGCTCACTTTTAACTGGATTGCTTTTTTGGTGTTAAGATGTATGAGTTCCTTTGGAAATAAACCTCCTATAGGGTGTATCATTGATGAAAACTTTTTAGTTGATGTGGTCCCATGTTAATTCTTTCCTGCATTTCCCTTGCCCAAGGAGACATACAAAAAAAAAAAAAAAGTTTCCTAAGACCGATGTCAGAGAGTTGACTGCCCATGTTTTCTTCTTGGAGTTTATGGCTTCAGGTCTGACACTGAAGTATTTAATCCGTTTTTGGTTTGTTCTTGTATATGGTAAGAGAGTGAGCCAGTTTCACACTTTTGCATGTATCTATCCAGTTTCCCCAACACCATTTATTGTAAGTAATGTCTTTATCCACTGTCTTTCACCTCCTTGGTTAAATGTATTACGAGGTATTTTATTCTTTTTGATTCATTTGTAAATGGAATTGTTTTCTTAATTATTCTTTCTGATAGTTTGTTATTGGTGTATAATATTTTATTTTTGCATCCTGCTACTTTGCTGAATTCATTTATCAGTTCTAATAGCTTTTGGTGGATGTTTTAGCGTTATTTTTACATAGTATCATGTCATCTGCAAATAATGATAGTTTTTCTTTCCAATTCAGATGTCTTTTGTTTATTTACTTTTGACTAATTACTGTGGCTAGGACTTCCAATACTTACATTGAATGAAAGTGGTGAAAATGGCACTAGCTGGTTTGGCTCAGTGGATAGAGCATCAGCCCAGGGACTGAAGGGTCCCAGGTTTGATTCGATGTTTCTCCAGCTCTGTCTTTCCCTCCCTTCCACTCTCTTTAAAAATCAATGGGAAAATATCCTCAAGTGAGGATTAAAAAAAAAAAAAGTGGTGGTGAAATTGGAAATCCTTGTCTTGTTCCTGATCTTAAAAAGCTTTCAGCTCTTTACTATTGAGTATAATGTTAGCTGTGGGTTAATCATACATAGCTTTTTTTTGCTTGTTTCAAGTATTACATATGTCTCCTTTCCTCCGATTGAACCATGTATGTCTTTATTATGTTGAGGTATGTTCCCTCTCTCCCCACTTTGCTGCGAGTTTTTACCATAAGAGAATATTGAATTTTGTCAAATGCTTTTTCTGCTTCTATTGATATGATCATGTGGTTTTCATCCTTCATTTTGTTATTATGATGTTATTATGATGTATCACATAAATTAACTTGCGGATATTGTACCCACCTTGCATCCCCAGAATAAATCCCACTTGATTATGGTGTATGGTCTTTTTAATGTATTATTGGATTTGGTCTGCTAGTGTTTTGTAGAGGACATTTGCATCTATGTTCATCGGGAATATTGGCCTATAATTTTCCTTTTCACAGTGTTTCTGCCTGGTCTTGGTGTCAGGTAATACTGGCCTTTGAACTCAGGATCTGGGAGGTTGCTTGCCTCCATTTCATTTAGTCCTGTTTCTGGAGGTTTCTCCTGTCCTTTCGTTTGGGGCCTGTTTCTCTGTCTCTCTCTGCTTCTGTGTATTATGGAGGCCTGCTCTGTCTCCCAGTCTGGATGGTTGGCTTTATGTAGTTGATGCCTCATGGGGCTCAGTGGTGGGCGCAGTCTCCCTGACCCCAAGCGGGGTGCTTGGGGAATGCCCCTGGTGTGGGTCCTGCTGTAGGTATTTCTGAGAAAGGAAATAAAAAATACATACAGTAAGCTGGTCCCATTTCCCAGTAATTCATTCTACTACTTTCATAAAGCACAACAGAGAAATCCAGGATTTACAGTTTAGGGACTTTGGGAGAACTATTTAGTCTTAAAAAATAAGTCTAAATTTCAAAGCATGGCTTGAAATTTTAACCTTGAGCGTCATCTTGGACGTCATTCTTATTTTCTCCCGGCTTCTGCCTTGCCTTCATCCACATGCAGGAAGCACTGAGCAGGGCGTGAGAAGGAGCAGGCCCGCCTGCACTCGCTACTCATTGGGAATGACCATCCCACCTAGCGCAGGTGTGCGATGCACTCCGGTCCAGGGCCGTACAGTCAGGTTAGGGTCTTGTAGTTCCGAGGAAAGTCTCCTGAACTAACACACGGAGACGCCTGTTACTGTCACTTTAACCATAACATTCTGTGCTCAGATAACAGCCAACCTGGAAGAGGCTCACCGCTGGTTTAAGTGCAGGTTCGACGGCCTGCAGCTGGAGCTGACAAAAAACCGGCTGCAGAGGCTCCGTCAGGCTCTGAGCTTCCTGGACGCCTGTGTCTTTGCCTCACCTTGTCCCTGGGTGGTGTAGATCCTCAGGCTGGCTGGCTATGAGGACTGACCCTGACCACAGCGTACGAGCTGCAGTGGGGTGCTGAGCACATGAAGTGAAATACGCCCCTGAACCACATGATCCAGTCTCTTCCCATGATTCTAAACTGCTCAGAGCCCTTTGTCTGCACAAAAGAGCCTGTGCATTGACCCTGTAAGAGAGCCCCTGGGTCCCAGCAGGCTCCCGTCTCCCTCAGAGAAACTCCCCGCCAGTGGCACAGCCACCAGCTGTTAGGCGGGCTCCTCCTGCCTCTGGGCTCTGGGCTGGGATCCTCGCTCCTCAGGGGGAACCTGAGGGCTGAGACACCCGCCAGACTCTCACAGGGGCACGTGGGCTCGGGCCAACCCTGCGTGTCAATGCTGCGCCTTTGTGAGCCCGTGGCCGTCATCTCCCATCCAGCTGGCCTCCGGGTGCTAGTGCTAACGTTCAGGTGGAATTCCGCTTCGGTGCTGGGTAGGAGGTGAGTGTAGCTTCCGCCTACTCCACCGCCATCTTTTAATACGTTTGTACATTGTAACATGATCGCATTACAGCCACACTTAACTACCTTACCATCTTGCACAATTATCCTCTTTAGTGGTTGGAATCATTGTTAGCTTCCACCCAAGTTTGATGACTGCAGTACAACACATCTTTGTCATTGTATTGGGCATTGCATTTCTATGGCTTATTTCCTAGTTGCAAGTTGGTAGCCTTAAATAACATCAATCTTACTCCCCATCTCTGGGTGTTTTAAGATTATGACTCCCCCAAACCTACAGTTAACTAAACTTCCTTACAGAATGTCTGAAGGGACGAATGCGGTAGGCGTTAGACCATTTTAGGTCACCCACAGATGTGTCCCCTCACTTTGGAAGACCCATTAAATCAGTGGTCGCCAACCCTTCGGACCTCATGGACCCCCAATGGGCGGCCGCTGCTCTAAATAACTGGCCCAGTGTTGGAGACTCAACAAGGAAGTTTAAATTCTCTAGCCAAATTCACAGGAGAGGTGTCTACACCAACGTCAGCACTCCGTATGGTTCCTGGGCTAACACAATAGTTACTGTCCGTTCATCCTTACGTGCTTCCTCAGAGCCACATCCTAACCACTGGGGGCACGAAGCATCAGCTGTTCCCGCCTTCCCCGTAGATGGACAGCACACGACTGTCCTGACGCCCTGGGAACTCGGCCATCAGAGCCCGTTCTGACCTGGGAAAGAGCCCTGGTGTGTGACGTGCACCGCCCGCCCGCCCGCCCGCGTCCCTCCCCGCGGGAAGGTGCCCGTGCTCCGTCAGCTTGCTCTGAAAGCCAGTTAACCAGCGAGTCTCACCAGGTAACTAGGCTTCTCCGGAGGATGCCGAACACTTCAGCCTTTCTCTGAAAAAGTCTTCCGTCCTTACATCTGTTTCCCCAAACCCTGCGTAACGGGTGGCAGCGTCTGGCCCACAGGCCGTGTAAGGCCCACGAAATCCTTGGGCTCTGCCACGGCATCAGGTGAGTGAATGAAATGTTTGACCAAACGGAGCAGCTGCTTTTCAAGTTGGTGTTTTGTCTGGCCTGGGGATGACCTTATCAAGACCCCATGAGCCTTGGCAGAAAAAGGCGCACCCCCTCCCTTCCACCCTGTTGCTCCGTAGGCTCAGCGGTCGGCTCTGACCCAAGCCCACCCTGGCTGACAAGCACGTTCTGCCACCACAGCAGGCAGCTCAGCTTGTTCTTCTGAACCAGACACACAACCCGCCTGCTGGGCTCGGCAGCTTTTGGAAGGTACGGGACATCCTCTCCGGTTGCCTAGCTGCCCACTTGGTTTGGACCTGATGGTGTCAGCAGTGGCTGCCCTTACCTGAGCGGCAGTTGAGCCGGTTCTGTGCCACCGTGTGCGTAGCTAGTTAGCTCCTTCCCGTTCACGGCTGGGCACAGGAGCGGGCTTGCTGCTCCTGCCGTGGAGCGCGATGCTGCGGACCCTCCCGCAGACGGCTGTACCCACCACCTTGGTGCCCGCAGCCTCCCGGGCACCCACACGCTACGCCCTTACGTAACAGAGACACTGGTCTCACGGATGGCGCCTGGGAATCACCTACAGCACAGGGGTAGCTCTTATCATTTTCCAGGCGATTCTATTTCCTAGACGTGAGGCTGGATGTCAGGCTGGGACAGTCCCGAAACCAAGAGTCCTGTCATGGAGGTGCCAAGTGCTTCCTGATAGAATGTACTTAGAAAATAGCAACAGCCTCGATTATCATACACAAATTAATATAACTTTATTGGGTGGAAAACGGGGAAAGGAGAAGATGGGCGGCTTGGTATCGGTTGTCAAGAGTTCATAAAGGGATAAACTCGGGTCCAACTTCAGCCCCTGGACGTTGTGCCGGGGCCGTGGCAGCAGGCCAGCCCGGCGCTGCCTCGGTCCCCGCGTGGCTGTGGGTGCGGCTCCTCCGCGGTCAGGGCGTCACTTCCTCTCCAGCTCAGGATGGTACTTCTTGGGCATAAGCCGAAGGTTCTGTTTGTTCTCCCACCGGTGCAGGACAGACTGGGTGGCGATGGCGTCGTGCCTCTGGTCTTGGTCCTGGTGGGAAGAGATCACACCCAGCACTGCTCAGACTCTGTCTTATTTATTCTCCAAGGTGGTGCTAACCTGGGCAGTGGGAGAGGGGGGACTTCTGGGAAAAGTTTAGACCCCCTGCTTTTCTTGTAGATTAGAAAGAGGAGCTGAAGGAGGAGCTGCTGAGACAGCCACGCCGAGATGCCCACCTCTTCCCAGCACCTGCTCTCCTGGGGGAGCCTCTGCAGCCGGTTTTTTGTCAGCTCCAGCTGCAGGCCGTCGAACCTGCACTTAAACCAGCGGTGAGCCTCTTCCAGGTTGGCTGTTATCTGAGCACAGAATGTTATGGTTAAAGTGACAGTAACAGGCGTCTCCGTGTGTTAGTTAGTTCAGGAGACTTTCCTCGGAACTACAAGACCCTAACCTGACTGTACGGCCCTGGACCGGAGTGCATCGCACACCTGCGCTAGGTGGGATGGTCATTCCCAATGAGTAGCGAGTGCAGGCGGGCCTGCTCCTTCTCACGCCTTGCTCAGTGCTTCCTGCATGTGGATGAAGGCAAGGCAGAAGCCGGGAGAAAATAAGAATGACGTTCAAGATGACGCTCAAGGTTAAAATTTCAAGCCATGCTTTGAAATTTAGACTTATTTTTTAAGACTAAATAGTTCTCCCAAAGTCCCTAAACTGTAAATCCTGGATTTCTCTGTTGTGCTTTATGAAAGTAGTGGAATGAATTACTGGGAAATGGGACCAGCTTACTGTATGTATTTTTTTATTTCCTTTCTCAGAAAAAACTAGACTTTAGCTCAGAAGCACACATGTCCACATTGTCTTCGTCAGAGCAAACAGTCCCTCGGACAGTCTGTCTTTGAAGATGAACTGGAAGCCGTATTCACTTATTTGACAGATACTGGCCGAGTGCTTACACGTGCCTGGCACTTGTCTGAGTATTTGGGACACTTCGGTATTTTGAAGGCAGAGCCAACAGATGTGAATTTACAAGGAGGAGCTTCACACCAGGGCAGAACTTCTCCTCTAGGATGAAAAGCGAAATGACTGTTCCCCCTTGGACTGCTCCGTGGGCAGCATTTCGTCTCTGATGCTGAGCTCCGAGCGGCCGTTTCTCTTGCCTGGGAAGGCACGTGTGTGAGAGCAGGCTCTGGCTCGTTCCCCCCTCTCCCGCCTGGCGCCTGCGTGGAGCAGGTCCTCAGCAATGGGCCTTGTCCTGCGGTAGCCAGTGGGCAGGTGCAGGATAGAAAGCTCCCCGCGGTGTGAGCGCTGAGAAAGCCACAAAGCTAAGGCATTTTCCAGGTCTGTGTGTGTCCTGGTGACAGTGACAGTCCCGCCCCCCGAAGCAAACCGAACCCCACCTTTCTCCAGCACTTCTACCAGGAGTGGAAGAAAGATGCTTGGAATGGCATTGTGCATCCTGTCTCCTCCTGCATGGCGAACGAGAAGGCAGCTAGCATGGATTGACACTCACGCTGAGCCATCTATCACTAACAGAGCAGAAGGCGTAACCTGGCCCACACTGAGGCGCTCGCAGCAGAGGCAACCTCCTAGGCACCTGGGGGCCCGTTGGCATCCTCTCAGCTGTGTCGCAGGCCACAGTCGCTTATTCCATCTAATTTAACGCTAAAGAAGGGAAAATCGTGGCCAACTGAAAGCACGTCACGTGACACCTTAAGCTAAGAATCTCTGGAAGGTGAGGGTGGAGATGGGAGACTCATGATTTCTAAAGCATATGACTTTAAATCCCTTCCATAAGCCAACGGGAGATATTAGGGGAAGCAGCTCACGAGTTAGGAGGCTGCTTCTCACCTCCAGGTGGAGACGGAACAGAGCTCCCCTCGCTGGTGCGCGTCACACAGCGAAGTGTTCAGCCCACCGGCCGGCCTCCCTTCTCGCTAGGGGAGGGGCTTGGACCTCAGCGTTCTAGTCTTTCTCCTCGGGACCCACCATCTGAATCTAAAAGCAATCCCGCTGCATGACGGAGCCGGCCCGAGCAGCGGCTCCTGCCTGCTGACGCCTCACGTGGGGGACGGAAGGAAGGGCTACGCTGACTCCGGTGTGCGGCAGGTGGCTGTGTCGGCCCTGCCTTACCTGTTCCGATTCCACACTGGCTTCTTTCAGTTTACTCTCCGTCACCTCCTTACATTTCTTCAGGTGTCTGACTGTTTCCTCCAACTCCTGAAAAGGTGACACACAGATTTTTACAAAGTCCCAATGGACCGCATCAACCAAAAAGTGCCCACCTTGGACTAAGTGAGCCACCGAACCACGGAAGTGCACCTTCTCCTTTAGGCCCTGCTCAGCTCACCCTCCCGTGCACACATGCACACATGATCACAGCTGGTCCTGAGCACGGTTCTCCTGAACAAAGGCTCCCTCCAGGGCTGGAGGGCTACTTCTCATGGAGGGTCTGCTGGAGGACAGGAGCTCGATACCTCCCCAGCCCCCCTCGAGACGTGATGCTCAGCTCTGCCTCAGGGTGGGAGCAGCTCAGGTCCTGGGACAGCAAAGGAGCACCTGGGCCACAGGCACAAAGTCCCCGCCAACCAGGGCTCTCAGCTCAGAAATCTGACTGCTCGACTTGCACCTTGACAGGTGAGCTTTAGTCACTGAAAAAACGAAAATGGGGCGCATGTGCCATAGCTGAAGCCAGGCTTCTCCCTAGACCAGTGGTTCTCAACCTTCCTAATGCCGAGACCCTTTAATACAGTCCCTCATGTGGTGACCCCCAACCATAAAATTATTTTCGTTGCTACTTCATAACTGTAATTTTGCTAGTTATGAATTGTAATGTAAATATCTGTTTTCCGATGGCCTTAGGCCCTACAGCAACAGTTCTCAACCTGTGGATCGCCTATGACCATCGGAAAACACAGATATTTACATTACGATTCGTAACATAGCAACATTACAGTTATAAAGTAGCAACAACAATAATGTTATGGCTGGGGGGTCACAAGGAACTGTATTAAAGGATCGCGGCATTAGGAAGGTTGAGAACCACTGCTCTAGACACTGTGACCCTAAGACTCAGTGCAGATGACAGGTGCAGATGACCACCTGTCAGCCTCTCTCCTGCAGGGTCCAGGAAACCCGGGTGCTCTGATGCTGGGTGCTCGGACCCCTGAGCTGAGTCTGACCTACCTGGCATCGGCGCTCCAGCTCCTGCCTCAGTTTCCGCTCCGCCTCCAGGCGCAGCTCCTGCTGCTTGTTCCGCGCCGAGGTGTCGTACTGGCTCTTGGCCAGCAGCTGCATCTCCTTCTGCAGGTTCGTCATTTCAGACACAAATCTCTGGATGCTCAACGACTGGGGCACAGATAGGGAGACAGTTGGGTCCAAGTTTGGGGTTTGTGTGAAGGGTAAGCAGAGCCTAGAAATCACGTACCTGCTCATAGTTCTTCTTCTGGTACTGATCCTTAATTAGCTCCATTTGCCTCAATTCCATTTCTATTTGCTGAAAGTAAGCGGGAGACAGCACAGAGAGGTCAGTGGGAGAGCTGGCTCTTTGCCGATAGGGTGACAGAGAGAATCCCACGAGAGATCAGTCACCAGTCCTCCTGGGCGCTCCTCCCGCCCCACCCACTGGCACCGCAGAGCAGTCCCGCCCAGTCCCCGTGAAGGGACGGTGGTGAGCTAGGACGCGACCCTGGCAGCTACAGAAACCACACATGCACACGGCGGAAGGAGATGGTCCCCCAGGGCAACCTGCCTGTCCCAGGCCCAGCTGTCACTCGGGGAGCATGGGGCTGTGAGTGCTCTGAAGCTGTCCTCCCCAGGTCTCAGAGAGACCAAGGAAGTGAGGGGATAGAGTGTTGTACCTTCATCCTCTCCACGTTCTGAGCAGCATTCGCCTTGGCCGACAAGTGGAGCTTGATTTGGGCCTTCTGGTTCTTGATCTTCTCCTTGCTGCTGGCCAGCAGCTTCTCCATGTCGGTGAGCTTCTGCCGCAGATCCCGGTTGGTGCGCGACACCTCCACGGACCTGCAGTTGGCGTCCTCCAGGGCTCTCCTCAGCTGTGAACACAGGAAGGTGACATCTTACCCCACTTGGGAGGAAGGTGATGCTCGCCTCTCTCCCGACATTGTGCTCTCTTTGAACCTGTCTTTCAAAAGGGAAAGTCAGTGAGGTAATAGTAATAGTGCCTGATTAAGTAGGTGAGTGGAGGAACACGCTAAGGGATTTTCAGAATTTTTAACTTTAAAGAACACAGTCTTTGTTAGAAACAGATAAACCATTTAAATGCAAGTTCAACACTTGCCCTCTTAAGAGCATGGCTTTGGAGTCAGACCTACATTCAGGTACCAGCTCACCACTGACTCGCCAAGTAACTCTGGGCGATTGATCTCCCGAGGCCTCAGGTCCATCACAGGAAGGTGTGTGACAGCCGACCGCCCAGGACAGTGCAGCAGCTCAAGACGAAGCACAGAAGGCACGCAGGCCTGGCCACCGTCACTGCTCCGGGGCATGACCAGGTCACATGATGCCCAGGACCCGGTGCATGTTTCGCAGCCGAAGGGCTCCATCTGACCCTGGTCCTGTGTCGACAAACACTGGGGACCTCAAAACCAAACTGACCAGGAGGAGCTGACATGGAGGTACCCTGCTTCCTCCCCAGACCAAGAACTTTTCCCGTTCCTCCTCCTCTGACCAGCCCTTTCCAATCCCATGACATGAGGTCTCTAGGACTGTCCACTTTCTGCCTCACCTGGCCTGCAGACAGGCCCCTGCCCAGTGGGTGTCCCAACTCCCCGATGCCACGGACGTGCCCCTGCAGCTCTGCATCACATCCTCTTTCTCTGGACACACTCAGCCCCTCTCTCATGTCAGACTCCCTTCCAAACCCCATGTCAAAAATATAAACCTGGGGGCCTCGCCTCAGGTTCTGTACCAAAGGACACAGGCAAGGCTACCCAGAATACACCACCCGCGCAGTCTACAGACTATTAGTCATACTAGTTTCCATGGAGGCCAGCCTTTGAGTCCGAGCCCCGACTCCATGGGCACATCCCTGGAGCCATTCATGTTCAAAGCGAGCACCCCTGGCAGATCCCTCGCTGACAGGAGCGAGGCAGAGGCGGCTGTGACCTCAGGCACGCAGAGCCTGCCGCTAACACCGCACTCCAGCTGCACCCAGGCTCTCAGTGAAGGCTGCTCCTGACTGAGGGACAGCCCTTGACTACCTACCGTTCAGACGACCAGGACGCTGCTGCATTTTACAGACACTCCTGGGGAAGTCGAGGCTCAGCTTAGATCACGGCACAAACCAGCTGGCTGCAGGATGACTCCTTCCAGTCTTTCTCTGACGCCGCGACGCTCCTGGTGTGGGTCCCGAGGATCCCGGCTCAGAAACGCGCCCAGACACCGGGCACCTCCTGCCTGTGAACCCCAGCAGTGCCCTGGCACTGGAGTCCCTCTGAGCTCACACGCACAGCCACAGCTGCTCACCACTGAGCACGCGTCCCCGAGACGAGGACATCGGAAAAGGAAGAAGAGGGACTGACTTAGATAACGGAACCCAAGTCATAACTGTGAGCGCCGCCGAGAGCTTCGGAGAAGGACGCCAGGGCCTGTGACCATCACCGCATCTCCTCCGCGGCCGGCAGCGGGGAGCAGCCTGGAGTGAGACGTCTCTCCGGCGGGACTGTTCAACAGGCAGCAGGCCCCAAACGGCGTCATGTCCGCTGAGCTCGGTCACCGAACCTCGGCGCAATGCAGTCTGGCTCTGCCAGAAGCAGACCTAACAGAACTACCGGCCTACGCTAGTCCGGTCTGTAGTCCACCTGCACACCTGCCTGCCCAAGGAGGTGCCCTCGTAGGAGCCAACCCGCTCTTCTGCCTTTGACCCCGGGCTCCGCTCCCTCCTGCCCGCAAACTCCTGCACGCCGCTCCTGGAGCTCCTCTCGTCTGCCAGACTGGACACCCCGATTCAAATCAGTTTCATTCACATAAACTCTTACGTTTTCACGGTGCCTGTTTATCTTTTAAAATTACTTCAGTTATCTTACAGAGTTTCCCTCCACAGTGGCTTTGTTACCTAACTGCTCTTTATCTCCCACAGAATCCCCTCTGGGCCCTAACACCCAGAGCCCGGAGGAACTGCTCTAGTCTCTTACACCTGTCTCCGGCTTCTCTTCCTTCCTGCCGACTTCCCAGTGCGCTCAGACCGCCTTCCTACAACTGTGCTCACACCATCACCGCCTCCCGCGCTCACTGCTGGCCGCAGCCAGCGTTCCGGTGTTCACCGCGGGCCGTGCACGCCGCTTTCGCAGACATTTCCGTCTGCTCCGACAGAGAGACGTGTCCTTCTCCTGTGCTCACACGTCCTGCTCACGTGTCACCAAGCTTTGCTCGTCCTCTTACACGCGGCACCTGTCAGCTCTGCTGGTCTCAATCCCGTGTCCTTTGCTCACAGCAGCCTGCAGCCCAGACCTTCCTAACTTCAGATCCCTCAGCTCACACAGCCCCTGGCCTCCAGGGAAGGAGGGTCCCCTGGAGCTTCCCACCGGTCTCCTGTGGAGAGTGGCGACCACACTGACCAGGGTCAGTTAGCAATGACCATGGCTTCCCTGCATCTCCGTGTGCCTCGAGGAGGGAGAGGACGGAGACGGTGACTGTGGCCGCTGGGGGCAGTGCCCTGACTTCCTCCTTCAGCTGGCACTCGCTGGTGGAAAAATGCCCACCCAGCTCCCTTCGCTGGCAGAGACACTATGAAAAGCAGGTTTTGTGTCGGTTTGTGCACAACACAGGGACGGCCTGACGTCAGTCAGGGGGATTAAAAAAGCCGAAGAAGAACTGTGCCAGGAGCTGGCGCCCCCTCAAGGCCCACTCTGCCTGGCCCGTACCTCGGCCACCTCCCGCTGGCTCGCCTTCTTGGCGGTCTCTCTCTCCGTCTGAAACTGCTTTCTCAGAGATTCCATGTGCTCAGCATGCAGCTCTGCTTCCATCTTAGATTCCTCGGTCATGCGTGCTCTGTTTGAAAAGGAGAGTGGAGAAATCACCTTTAAAATTCAGCTTAGGAGGGAGGGGGTCTCAGTGACAGATCAGCCACCGGTGAGCCTCACGGACCTGGAGCTCATTAAAAGGGAAGAAGGCCTTACCTACAGCGTACAGTCCTTCAGTGGAAAGAGGCCCAGCCAAAAGCACGAGACACGCTGGTTTTAACCAATAATCAACATTACCCCGAATGTAACATGCGTAGTAGGAAAGGCACCTTCCCTGCTGTGTGCAGACCTGGGTGCGATGCCGCATGCTCACCAGCCGAGGAATGCAGACCTACATGCACTCGCTTCCCCTTGGTGTACCTCTCCCTGGCACCACCACCTCAGTCACATTCACCTACACCGCTAGGACAAACCTGAGTGGCCTGGCCTCAAGTTGCTGGGTCTGACCTCATTATCTCAGGCCGAAACGGAGGCCATGACTGACATCTGCCTGGACAGACCCCCTTCCTGGTTGGGAAAAGCCCTCCTGGCTCCTGTCACTCCCTTTCCCAGCCTGCTCTGCAGGACACAAGCTTTTGTTAGAAAAGGGCTAGCAGGGACATGCAAGTGGCCCCTTTAACCAGTATCTGTGCCATTTTGGCTTGGTCTTTGCATGGAGAAGCAGCCTGATACCCGTCAAGGGCAGAGTTGGACATAAGCGACCCAGGCAGCCAGTCCCTGCTGCCCAGCTGTGGGGCTCCGGGCAGGGCCCAGCTGGAGCACCAGCTCCGCAGGGGGAGAGGTATGAGCGTGTGAGTGAGCGGCATTGCTCCCTGGGGCCCCAGTCCCCGTGACGGCACTGCCCTTACTTGCAGGATTCCAAGTCCTGCCGCTCAAGTTCTTTGCAGTCCAGTCTCTCTTGGATGTGGTCAAGCTTTGCTTGCAGGTGGCCGTTTGTCTGGAGCGCTTGCTCCAGGCTCATCGCCAGTTTCCTGTTGTCTTCTCTCGAGACATCCAGAGCCTTCTGCAGGGGCTCCATCTGGAAGAGAAGCGGGTTTTCAATCCCTGTGACATGCACTCCGTCCACAGCACCGTGCAGCCACTCCCTGCCCTACATCAAGTGCCACCGAAACTACCCATCGTTGGAATCAGCAGAGATTCCAGATGCCAGGAATACATGCGAGGGCTGGCGATGGACATTGCTTTGCAGCCAACCTGCTTCATCCTCCTTTTATTTTTTATTTTATTTTATTTTATTTGAAAATATATTTTATTGATTTTTTTAACAGAGAGAAAGGGAGAGAGATAGAGAGCTAGAAACGTTGATGAGAGAGAAACATCGACCAGCTGCCTCTTGCACACCCCTTACTGGGGATGTGCCTGCAACCCTGGTACATGCCCTTGACCGGAATCGAACCTGGGACCTTTCAGTCCACAGACCAACGTTCTACCACTGAGCCAAACCGGCTTCGGCTCATCCTCCTTTTAAAGTAGTTATATCACCCTTCCTGATCCCATGACCTTCTGGTCTCACTGCCTATAGAGGAGAGACCTGGCAACTGTTCCTGCATACCTTCCAGAAAAAGCTTATTCGTATGAAACATCCATGTGCAGTTTATACACATGCATATGTGTAGATACATTTGAAGGTGCGCACACCTGTGAGCACACATGTGAGGATGTGACCTCCTAGTAGTGAATTCACTCACTCCAGCTCCTTTTTTCTGTTGGTTAATCCTCACTTAAGGATATATTTCCATTGAGTTTTAGAGAGTGGAAGGGACGGGGAGACAGAGAGTGAAGAGACAGAAAAACATCAACATGAGAGACAGATATCTACTAATGTCTCCGACATGCATCCTGACCGGGCCAGGGATGGAGCCTACAACTGGGTATGTGCCCTTGACAGGAATTGAACCCATGACCATTCATTCTGTGGGCTGATGCTCTACCCACTGAGCCACTCCAGCTAGGCTCTAGTTACTCCTGCTGGAGGGTAAAGTTTTTCTCCAAGCTCTTTAACTTTTGCATACATTTAACGCTGATAAAAAGAATGCGAACCATGTAAGGCAAAAAAGAACCAGGCATCATTTTGGTCCTGGATTCCTAATAAATGACTCCCTGTAAGATGGCAGGCCCATTTCCTATTTGTGGAATGTCACTGTTCAAAACTCAGATCTGAATGAAAGGACATGTACCTGGCTGTCCTACTCCATTTCTCCAAAAATGGAAGATGCCAGTAAAACCACACGTCAGCGTTCCCATTCACAACCCCGCCTCTACCTACCTCACTGTTGTGCTGGGCGTCCACCACCAGCATGCGGGCCTGCCACTGGTCCACTTCCGCCTCCAGCTTCTGCACCCTCTGCTGGTTGAGAGCCCTGGCAATGGAAGCACAGACAGTGACGAGAGAGAAGAGCCCCCAGGAGCGACACACTGGCTCACAGGCACTTTTCCCAGGAAGCTCAGGGCACAGGTAGCAGGCTGTGGATCAGGATATCAGGGAGCTGGCTGGGCAACCAGGAGCCTCAGCCTCTGGTGAAGAATGAAGGCTCCTACAGATGAGAGACTTCCCCACTTAGGGGCAGGTCTGGCTGGATGCATTAAACCAGCAATTTTCAACCAATGGGACACAAGAATTTTTTTTTTTTTGCACCACAAGAATCTTTAAGACATGCCTATTTGGCCAGGGCACCGAACTCTTTTCCCTTAGAATGCCAATAAAACACTGTCAACAAGCAATACAAATAGCTTTCTTATGTGAATGAATCAAAATTATACCTACTTTTTTTGTGAGATTGGCAAAAATATATATTTTGGTATACTGTAGAATGTTAGTATTAGGTTACATTTGCCATGAGGTGAAAAAGGTTGAAAATTGCTGCATTAAGCTCTCAACACATGCCAATAATTAAGTTACAGGCTGGTAACTTTATAACATATATATAAAACCTATAAATTACATAGTTTTGTACTAGTGAATGAACATATTCACACTATCACTTGTACAGGAATTGGCTTGATGTTGAGATTTCTGCTTCTAAATACACCAGGCACCTAGAATTTTACTGTGACTGGTAAACTATTTTTAATACCATCCCCTTGAATTCCTTTTTACCAGTAAATGCTAAAGACACATTGATAATGTGTACAAGACAAAGATGAGCGCAATAAAGACTATAAAAGTCACTCGTCCACTCATAACACAGAGGCGACCGCACCACCAACATGCACATTATCATATACTGTAGAGGCCTTACTAACTCAGACCTTCCGTTCATTAACCTAAAAGGGAAACTTTTATGTAATATTTGAAACATTCAAAGGAGTTTACTAATGAAACATGGCCAGAAGTTCTCAGAATAGACGTTCTCAGAATGTTTCATCTAAAATAATAATCTTTAAATGGGACACTAATAAATGGATAATTAATCCAAACTAAAGTAGGCCCTTACCTTCAATTATCTTGACAGTTACAATTCTGTAGATCAAAAGACAACTCTAAACGCATAGAAAACAGCAAGGGTAAAACATAATAGATCACATGAATTTCTAAAACTTTACATCACTACAAAAATATAAGAATTTCGAAATTCTGGAAATCAGGTTGGTTTCGAATTCCAGATCTCCCCTAACTTTAAACTAGCTTCTTCACCATCACCAGTGGTGTGCAGAGGAAATGCTGTAACTGACTGGTGTCTTGATCTCTGCTCCTCACTGCAGAGCAGCGGGAAATGACAAGGACAAAGACAGAAAAGTCATCTCTGGCACCTTTCTTTCTTGAGGCCTGCGATCTCCGAGTCCCTCCGCCCAAGCTCCATCTGCACCTTCTCCAGAGCGCCTTGCATCTTGCTGTGAGAAGCCAGCACGTTCTCCAGCATGACTGTCACTTTGCAGTTGTCTTCTTTCGCTTCTGCCAGCTGCCGCTGAAAGGTCCCCATCTAACAGGAAAGGAAACCAGGGGAAGATGTCTGATTCTTTCTGCCAAGTCCCATTACTTCCAGGAAAAGGAGTAGGGAACCAGCACGGTAGGATGCTAAGAGGAATAATTAAAGTGCATTTTACTCTTATTTTGTTTCTTGATTGTGACTTCGAGAAAAATAAAACTAGACCTCAGATCCCATGGATCCTACAGAGAATTCTCAAGTGCTTCCTGACTACTGGCATGTCACACACAGCACAGATATTAGCTACAGACACAGGGACCAATGCTCTGGCTGGCCTGCTCAGGGCCTGGTCAGCATTCTCTCGGGATGGAAGACCAGGAAGGGAAGGTGGAGGGACTGGAAGATGCTGCACCTCCCAGGCCTCCGCAGCGAGGCCAGGTCCGGCACTGCTGTCACGGAGACGTTTGGGATGGGACCTGTTTTCACTGAGCACACTCCCCGCTGAAGTACAGGGCAACTGATGACAACAAGAAATACCGTGTTTCCCCGAAAATAAGACATCCTCCGAAAATAAGACCTAGCGCGTGGAAAGATAAGATATCCCCTGAAAATAAGACCTAGCGCAACTTTGGGAGAAAAAATTAATATAAGACACTGTCTTATTTTCGGGAAAACAGGGTAGTAGCTGTGAACATCATGTTCATAAGGCAAGAGGCGGCAGGCTATTACAAAGATCAAACATGCTGCAACAGAAAAAATTAGGACTTTTTCTTTTGATTAAAACCGGAAGATGAAAAATATTGGGAGTGGAATTATGCATTTTTAAGGAAAACATTTTAAAGCGTTTCTAAAGTTTTCTTAAAAAAAAAAAAAATCCTTCTCCGATCAGTCCTCACAAAGCTACAAGGCACGGAGGCAGGGGCTGTGTGCCGCCCGGCCTCCTCAGTGACCCTCTCGGCAGGACGCCCACCTTCTTGCTCTCCCTGTCCTCCAGGGCCTCCAGGTTCCCTTTCAGCTTCTGGCTCTCCTTCAGCGCCGCATCGCGACACTTCACCACCTGCGAGAGCTCCTCTTCGTTCTTTTCCAGGATGGACTTTACCTTAGGAGAACGAGGACCAGCATCACTCTCCCAGAGCACAACACATCAGCATCAGAGCGAGAGCCTCAGAGAAGCCAAGCCTACCCTGTCCAGTTATATGTGCTATTTACTACTATAAATGAAACCAGTTTTATTAGCTGTTTTTTCCCCCTAAAGAAAACTCCAAAACGAAAATACATTTGTGTGAATAAACGAGCAAACCCAATATATGACCACCGCCACGAAAGGGCAGAATACGGAAGAGGGAGCTGAGACTATGAGGTAATGTGAAATGGGGGTGGGGCTTCTGCCTGTATCCACAGCTCACGCCTTTCTGTGGCTGCCCAGTCCTCTGCCGTGTGGCTGCACCACAGCTACTAACCCATTCACCTGCTGGACCTGAGTGGTCTCCAGCTTTCGGCGATTAGAGAGACAGGTGCTGTGAACAACTGTGTACAAGTCTTTGTGCAGACAATGTTTCCATTTATCTTTGGTAGGTACTTAGGAGTGGAATGGCTGGGTCATATGATAGGAGTATGTTTCATTTTTAAAGAAACTATCAAATTATTTTCCAAAGTGGCTGCACCATTTTACAATCCCTTTGGCGGTTATGAGAAGCCCAGCTGCTCCACATCCTCACTGACACTTGGTCTGATCAATCAGTTTTCCCCTTTTAGACATTCAAGTAAGTGTACAGTAGTAACTCATAGTTTAAATATCAAGCAAGAATGGATGCTATAAAAAGTTTTCTTTGGAAAATATTTTCTGACGTTCAAGTTCTTAGGGCTTCTATTCATGTATTTCTATTTTAAAATTAGGCTTTAACCAAACAACTTAATTTGAACACTAAGATTAGATATTTTAAATTAAAAAAGAAATCAAAATTAGATTTTAGAAATGTCAATGATTATTGTTAAGCAAAATCTGATATTTTCTATGTCCAAAAGCAATTATGTGAGAGCCAGAAGGGTTTCTACTTGTATCATCAGTATTCCCTATTTGTGAGAACCTAATTTCCTGTTACTCAGACCTTCAAACATTATCTTTCAGGATTGTTACTACTATTCTTCATCTATATATATAAAAGCCTAAGCGACTGTTACGACCAAATGACCAGTTGACTAGTCACTATGACACGCACTGACCACTGGGGGGCAGATGCTCAATGCAGGACCTGCCCCCTGGTGGTCAGAGGACTCCCACAGGTGGAGTGCCACTCAGCCAGAAGCCGGGCTCACAGCTAGCTAGCACAGCTGTGGTGGCAGGAGCCTCTCCTGACTGTGGCAGTGCTGCCAGGATGAGTGTGAGCTGCATGGTGCTTGGCCCCGGCTTGGGCTCTTCCGTGGCTACCTGCAGCTTGGCATACTGCTACATCCCCCAGGGGATGTATGACTGCTAGTGTAGGCCTAATCCCCACAGGCCTAAACCGGCAGTCAGACATCCCCTGAGGGGTCTCAGATTGCGAGAGGGTGCAGGCCAGGCTGAGGGACCCCCTTTGTCTCCCAAATCCGTGCACTGAGTTACTTGTTGAATATAAACTTCAAATTTCCTAATAATTTATGGTCTTTACTTACCGAATCCCGTTTAAGAAAATATGATGCCTCGTAAGTTTTAAATGGTCTTGAGGCAAGAATGTCTATTTTACCTTCCAGTCTTCCCTCCATGGTTTTAATAGCATTCAAAAGAGTCTTTAGAGAGATTCGAGAGTCCCCAGTATCATGAGATCTCGCAGAAGTCAGGGCAGGTGCAAAGGTCACATGGCGTGTGGAGCTGGGAACAACACTGGGCAGACCCACAGTTCTTTCCTTTACGCTGGGTCTATAGCTCTCAAGAAATTTCGAAGACGCAGGCCTCTCTGGAGATTTCCTTCTTCTCGGAGGCATCACCAATTAAAAACAATAAGCTAAACTAAACTAAACCAAACCTAGTTATTTTTCAGAGTGTCTCCTTTAATAGGAGGCACAACAACGTTCTAAGCAAAGCCGTGATGGAAAGTATAACGTGAAAAGTGTTCGTGCTTTCGGAATGAAGAAATCCCACTGAGAGTCTGTCCCAGCCAAGAAGCAGCCCTTCATCAAATCCCTGAAGGAGAGCACGTCTGGACCAACAGTCAGATAGCCAGTTAGAACCCCAGCAGGGTTCCATTTGGAGACACATTCTACTTCCTTGGTTACCGAAGGGGCACACACACGCATTACAGCTACAGAAATTACACTGGCTGCTAGAGAGTGGCAGAGATCTCCTTAAAAATCACATACTTGGTAAATTTGTAAAATATTGAAATGAATCACTTTCTTTCAGTAACATATTCCTGGATTATTTTCCTCACAAAATATTTTATATATCTTATTTATCTAACTTTCTTCGTTGGTTAAAATGTTATCAATCTCACCCTACGTGGGTGGCTCAGTTGGCTGGAGCTCTGTCCTGTACGCCAAAAGGCTGTTGGTTATTTCCCCACTCAAGAGCATTTACCCAGGTTGTGGGTTTAATTCTGTATCTCTCTTTCTCCCTTCCTCTCTCTAAAACAAACAAACAAACAAACAAACAAACAAAAAACCACAATTAAAAATGTTATCAATCTCAACAGTCACCATGCTGACAAGTCAGCACCTGCTCTGCTAACACCTCTTTAAGGAAGCAGCTGATGCAGGTGTGTCTTATTGCCTATAATTCAAAATCCAGCGACTTGTTCCTCACACCAAAAGTTAGGAGGCTCCCTTGTAATGTGCTTCCTACGATGCTCAAGATACAAACTGCTTTGTTTCTGAAAGTCCTGCTTCCTGCTCCATGGTGAAGTTTACTGAACACATGTCTAAGCCTCCAATCAGGGTGTGAGCAAGCTTCAGGCATCTTTGTGCACTCGTCGATGGCTGAGCAGAACCTTGTACACACTGTGTGTTTAAAGAATGCTTGCTGCCGAAACTGGTTTGGCTCAGTGGATAGAGCATCAGACTGTGGACTGAAAGGTCCCAGGTTCAATTCCGGTCAAGGGTATGTACATTGGTTGCGGGCACATCCCCAGTGGGGGGTGTGCAGGAGGCAGCTGGTCGATGTGTCTCTCTCATTGATGTTTCTAACTATCTATCCCTCTCCCTTCCTCTCTGTGAAAAATCAATAAAATATTAAAAAAAAAATATATATATATATATATATATATGTGTGTGTGTAAAAAAAAAAAAAAAAAGAATGCTTGCTGGGCTGAGTTAAGGGGGAGGATATTCATCTTTCTGACATGTATGATAAGTGGGAAAAAAGCATCCATGTCTTAAAAACGAGTTAAAACAGCTGAGCAGCCACTTGTTGTAGCTGTCAATCACACCTGAGTATATTTGTCCTCCAGAGCCTTGTTCAACTTGCGCAGTTGGTCATTCTGTGAGCTCGTTTCAGTGAAAGAATGGAGCTGCTCTTCCAGCTGTTTCACTTTTATCTAGGGAAAAGGCAAAAGAGTAATGAAAACAAGCCTCGTTAATAAGATACTGCGTGTATATTTATATACTCCAAAAGGAAAAAAGATTGCATGAGTTTCAAAATAAATTCAGAGAATCCCTAAAACCAGTAAAACGCAATCTTAAGTTTTTCTAATAATGGCAAAGAATCTTACCTCAACTGAAATACATAGCGACTTCATCAGCTAAAACAAGCTAAGTCCATTTACATGTAAAGAGATAATTCATTTGGCTTCTATGGCTTATGGAGACTCCAAATTAACACATTGCGGGCCAGTAGTTTTATTGCTAGCTTTACCCAAACATCAACCTATGAACCCAGTGGGAAGTGCTGTGTAACTGAAGACTTTCCAATGTGCCTCTCTTTCAGCACAACACGACTGTCCTCACACCCCACACTCCTCGGGTCTTCTGCCCTGCCTCCCCTCGGCTGGTCAGATAACGTGCTCTTATCGATGGCCCTTAGTTTTTACAGTGAACTTCTTATTCGGTAGGATTTCTAACTCAGGACGGTCAAATGGGAAAGGGAGGACACAGAAGCCAATGCATCCCAAGGCCCCAGATTTCGAGTGTTTCTGCCATGACTTCCCACGCAGCTCCATGGCCAGCTCATCAGCCGCGTCAGGAACAGCAGACACTCGGGCCAGGTCACATCTGCACATTGTTTCAAGGGCCCAAAGATACACAGACGGACATGGATGCAGGTACTCAATATAACACTACGACCTGTGCATGAATTCGTGCACTGGGCCTCTAGTCCGATATAATAAAAGGCTAATCAACTGAACAGTGAAAGGATCAGTCACTGTGATGCACACTGACCACAGGGGTCAGACACTCAATGCAGAAGCTGCTCCCTGGTGGTCAGGGTGCTCCCACAGGGGGAGCACCGTCAGCCAGAAGTTGGGCTCATGGTTAGTGAGTGCAGCAGCGGTGGGAGTCTCTCGCACCTCCTTGGAAACACTAAAGATGTCCTTAGGAGTCGACCTAAGTCATCAGTCAGACATCCCCGAGGGCTTCTGGACTAGGAGAAGGTGCAGGATGGGCTGAGGGACCCCCTGAATACACGAATTTCATGCACTAGGCCTCTAGTATTTATATACTAGAATACTAAGCAGCACTTTAAACCAAAGAATTATAACACACAACACAGATGAATCTCTCAATAACAATGTTGGATGAAAGAAACAAGATACAAAAATATATACACTGTATTATTATTTAAAGTTCAAGTAATGGAACCATTAATCTGAGGTGTCAGAAGTGGGGATGGGAATTACCTTTCTTGGAGATAGTGAGTGGGAAAGGCTATACAATGAGTTCTGGAATGTTCTATTTCTTGATCTGAGTGCTGATCATATAATTAGCTTTACTTTGTGAAAATTTAATAGGCAGTGATTTGTGTACTTTTCTGTATATGTGTTATAGTTCAATAAAAACTTTATTAAAACAAGACAAACAAAACCTTTGTAAAGGAAGAGTGGTATCATCCCATTCACTCATCTATTCTGGTGCCTCAGAGTAACAATTTCCAGGGTTATTTCTCTTTAGGAAAGTTAGGAAAAAATCAGCAAAGAGAGAACACAGGCTTTCAACATTCTCAGTAAATGACCTTGCATTAAACAATTATGATAAAGCTTCACAGAATGGTCTTTGGCTTCGAGATTTAAGGTTTTACCATTATAGTACAGGTACTATAAACAGAAGTCACCTAGATTTTAATGAAGTAACAAAATTAGGGAGGTTCAAAGACTGACCCAAAGTTATGTAATTAGTAAATGACAGATTAGGTCCTCTCAAAATTCATCAATATTTAGTCTGACAACTAGCATTAAAAGTTAGATAAAAATTCAGAAAATAAAACCTCATACCTGGAGTTTTCCCTTTTCATAGGCCAGCTTATTTTTACTCTGAGTAATTTTTCCCAAGGCATTTTCCACCTTCTGTCGGGCAATCTGATAAAGCAAGCACAGACATGGATCAGTGCACCAGGCAAGCAAGGGAACCATCATTTTCCTTTTAAATAAGTATCTGCATCTCACCATTTCATACCAACCAACCAGGATGCCTACTTATTGGCTCCGGCTGCCTCTTCTCCCTCCCTAGACACGCTGGGAGGCAGACAAGGAGAGCGAGGGCCTCAAGCATCCCAAAGAAACTTCTTTATTTATTAATTCTATCTTTCTACATCAATTCTTCCTTTGTAGCTGTGATCCAGCCCAGACGTGGGGGCTGTATCAGTGGTTACAGGATTACAGTTTGAGATCAGACAGTTCTTGAAGAGAATGGGACGTGCAAATGGTCATAACCCTCAGGCCGTAGGAGAGGCTTCTGCTATCAGTGTCAAGGAAGAAAGGAAGACACTGTTTTGATCAAAACCTAAACACATTTGGGACAAACATTACTGACAGCTCTATCATTCATGAATTTACATATTTTCATCATTCCAATAGCCTACTTAATAATGACATTTTCCCCATGTCTTTTCCACCAAACTTTGTCAGAGAAATAAGTATAACAAGGTTTTCTTTTGATTAAATTTTGGGCCTTCTTGGTACTTTGGGAACAATTTAGTGATTAAATGGGAAAGTTTCACCCTTCATAATAAATGTCAGTGATGTTTTCTGATAATGGGAAACAATGATGTCAAAAGTATCTTCACAAATCAACTGTGAAGTAATACAGACACAGCAAATCCCCATCATTCAAGCTGCCCATTGAACTACAGACCATCTGCAGTAAATCTGGAGTTTAAGGTCCCAGGAAATATTGACATAATTCATTATTTCTGGCTTACATTTGTTTTATTTGTGAATAAAGAACAGAGAACCTCTTAGACATTTAAAGCCAAAGAATTTAGACTTTTGTGTTATATTCAACTTTGGGCAAGTTGATAATGATGAAACCATATATGTAGGGATATTAATTTACAAGGAGAAATTCTTCATTATCTCTGTCAGTTACAGCTATTCTTTAGCCATCACTTTGTACTGCCTTTTATTTCAAGTGTTGTGAATTCAACACACTTATTTCCAAGTAAAAGAAAAGACACACTTCAAACTCTATTGCTATATAGTAACATGTAACTAATATTTTTCTCTGTTCGAAATATATTCATGATCGCACAAGAGGGGATACTAGTTTAGATTTTGTTTTCTCCTCAGTAGTTGCCTGAACTAGAAAAATTAGGACATCTTAGACAGTCTAGACTTGATTAAAAAAACACACACGTAAGAGTCATTAGTCCTAGTATACCATCTACTCTAAAATTACAAACATTCAATATAAAGATGTATACTGAATATTAGGTGTCAGTCGGCTATTAAATATTATGACCATCTAAGTATTTGTCTTATCAAAGCAATATTAATGCATGTATAATATTCATATTCATACATTGTTTCTTAAAGTTTTTTAAAAAAATCTGTGTTGCTACCACTAAGGCAAAGGAAAACATTTTTAAAAAAGCATTCAGACCGATAAAGTATTGGTTTCAAAATAACCTAAGGGAAATGTGGACTGCCATAAAAATAATAGAAGGCTAATACTAATTATTACCATAAAATTCATCATCGATTTTCTGTCTGTGGAAGACATACAGGCCTCTTTACCAAAACTTTTCTATTTTACAAACTCTGATGTAAAATCATTCCCATGAATGAAATATTATAGTTTGGGATTATGCTTCAACCATATCTTCAGTAAAAAAAATATATGGCCGAAACCGGTTTGGCTCAGTGGATAGAGTGTCGGCCTGTGGACTGAAGGGTCCTGGGTTCGATTCCGGTCAAGGGCATGTACATTGGTTGCGGGCACGTCCCCAGTGGGGGATGTGCAGGAGGCAGCTGAATGATGATTCTCTCATCGATGTTTCTAACTCTCTGTCCCTCTCTCTTCCTCTCTGTAAAAAATCAATAAAATATATTTAAAAAAAAAAAAAAAAAAATATATATATATATATATATATATATATATATATATATGGAAGGATGGCCAGTAATGCTGCAAAAATAGCTAAACCATAACTGTAAAACCCTGATTATTAAAATTCAGTTCCAAGTTCTATAAATCAATGTGCCCCAAAGTGCTGTAAAGTGTAGGGATAGTGTATAAAAACACCAAGGACTAGATTTAACCTAAAATATGCCAAATAGAACAAATACTAAACACTCAAGAATCACTTAGCTTTCTTGGAATGTGGAAAGGCTTTTCATGGAATAACTTACACAACACACGCTCATGTGTGTCAATAAGAGGTCAGACTACAAGGAAGCTTTATGGAAAATTTCAAATGTTAACTCTCAAAGAGCAAATTACACTGCCAGCACTGAATGGAAATAGGTTTACTAGTATTGTTAAGATTAAAAAATAACCCAGATATCTCGACCTCATTCCTCAGCCAGCTACAGCCAACTGCAGTGCGTGCCAGCACCCGTGGTCAGAGCAGATCCTAAGAGGAGAGGTACAGGTCTGCAGCTGCAGGGGTGGGCTCTCACTGGGAGACCTTATCAAGAAGCATGGTCTGCAGGCAAGAATCAACCTTGACCAAGTGACTGGCAAGATCTGTCAGAGTCAGTAGCAAGGCGAGGCCACAGGCCTGCTCACAGTGTGGGCGGGCTGAGAGGCGGTTGGCCAGAGGAGATGGGGGACATAGCTCCGCTGAGCCCTGGCCAACAAGCAAAGGGCATGAGGGGATCTTGTCTCAGGGGAGGGAGGACTGGCCTGAGGCGCCTCCAAGAATTAGCCAGTGCCTCTAGTCACTCCAATAGCAGCTCAAAGGCTTTCTTACCCGGGGTCAATTCAGATACCAAGAGTTGCATAAATGTTAGATGCCTGATATATGCTTTACATGTATTAACTTAATCCCTTGAACAACCCTCACCTCCAAATAATAGTATTATTATCCCCATTTTGACAGATTTAAGAAACTGAGTCTCAGAAAGGTTAAGCAGCACAATCAAGAATTGCAGCCAAGATGGAAAAACCTAGGCAGGCTGGCTCTAAAGCTGTGAAAATGTACAAGGACTTACATTTACTCTGCAATTTTTCACAGTTGAAGTAACGAGCAGCTTATGACACAATTTGAGAGAATTTAGTTCAGATTAAGATAGACTCACATTAGGGCCTCCATGGAATTTCCAAAGATTATTTGCATGTTATAGAAGCAATAATTAAATTTCAATTATTCAAAGGCAATAGGAAACGTATTCACTCTTCACAGGCCAATCATCTCTTTAAAATCCCTTTTACCACTTGGAGAAGATATTTTAAGAACTTTGCCATTTATTTGGAATGCACTGGCCTTGTTAAATAGCTGTTAGAAATCAAATTTACAAATGATGACCTAATGGAGGAAACTGTCAAACGGGGAAAATACAAGTTTCTTCTTTACAATTCCTGAAGAGCAGATGTTTTTAAAACATTAGCAATCTTTGTGCTTTTCAGCATTCTAGATCATCTGTGTAAGCAGATGTTTAATAGCTGCCTTAAATAATTGTTTTCTTAACTCCTCTGTTGTTGGACTCTATAGGAGTTTATGCCACATTTAGTTTGAGTTCTTCAGGACTCATGGTAATCAGGGAAGGAGACAGGGAGGGAGGAAAGGAAACCCATCTCTCTGTCTCTTTTTTTAAAAACTCCTCATTAGTCATTACTTCCTACTTAAGACTGACCTTTTCTTTTTTTCTTTTTTTTTTTTTTAAATATATTATTGATTTTGTACAGATAGGAAGGGAGAGAGACAGAGAGTTAGAAACATCCATGAGAGAGAGTCATCGACCAGCTGCCTCTTGCACACCCCCCACCGGGGACATGCCCGCAACCAAGGTACATGCCCTTGACCGGAATCGAACCCGAGTCCTCCAGTCCCCAAATCAACGCTCTATCCATTGAGCCAACCGGCTTCGGCAAGACTGACCTTTTCATACCCACCCCATGGTAGTCAGCCTCCTCTTGCTGAAGCTTCAGGTAAGCCAACTGATCAGCCAGGTCCTTATTCTTTGCCTCCAGAGCCTGCAGGCTGAGGGTTAATGTGTTTACATCTACCTTTGAAAAGCAAAAGGAGAAGAGAACTCCACTTGCTACCTACACATAGACTCCTTAAGCCAGAGCCAAAAATATTAACTTATTTAAACATGGCATTTCCAACTGTAAAATAGAAAGTATCTCATGAACATGTTCTCTACCTTTATATTTGGGGATTTTCAACCCGATTGCACTATGATTTTAAAAATGATTTCTTTTCTTCTATATTTTTTTCAACTTTTCTATTAGTCTTCAGCAGAAGAGTTTTATAAATTTACACTGTTTACATTTACTAGAAACGGAAGTTCTTCTGATATTTGGCATTTACTTTAATATTACTAATAATTAACCAAATTAACTAAAAGCATATGTTCAATATTTGATATGCTGACAATTACAACATACTGCTGAAAGAAATTTTGAGAAAAAACAAACAAACACCACACGAAGTAAAATAGAGGAGTAATTCATATTTATGTATAAGAGGACTCAGGCAGGTCAAACCCGTGTTGTTCAAGAGTCAACTGAATATGTACACAGTATTTCTCAGCCATCAGAAAAGCAGTGCTGATACATGAAACAATGGGAGATACTTCCCATCCAGTAAGATGGGTAGAATAAATTTTTAATTTATTTTGGTAATATTCAGGTAAAACCGATAGACCTTAGTAGGAGTTCTTACATTATTTAATGCTGCTTCTAATTTATCACAGAAGTTACTTCCCAAAACTGCTCATCCCAGCTGGATTGAAAGAGTATTTTGGAAATGAGGCCATGTTTATATACAAGTAGCCCACACTATACATCTACTAAAGATCCAAAGGATTTGCCTTGTGGAATTTGAAACAATAGAGCAAGTGGCAAAGCTACTGAGGTATGTCCAGAACGTTTTTATTTTTTAAGCAAGTACATCACGTGCAAGCGTTGGGGAGTCCAGTCTGGGGAAATCTTGGACTCATGAACATCCTTTAACATTTTGCTGAAACAACACTGAGCTAGGAGGATGGTGACTGCTGTTTGTGTGATAATTTTGTTTGTTTGTTTGTTTTTTGTTAAAGCAGACAATGACAGTGAGGATGTGGAGACACGGGAATCCTCATACATTGCTGATGGCATTGATTATAAAATGGTAGTCATTTTGTAAAAGCTTGGCAGTTTCTTTAAATGATCAACAGAATTACTACGTGACCCAGTAGTTTCACTCCTGGGGAAAATATACCAAAGAAAATTAAAAACATAAGCTCACCAAAAAACTGTGTACATTCACTGCATTATTCTTAGCAGCTGAAAAGTGGAACAGCTTGAATGTTTATCAATTAAGAATGGATAACAAAATATGGTATATTCATACAGTGAATATTATTCAGCTATAAACACAATCAAGTACTGACATATGCTACAATACGGATAAACCTTGAAAGCATCATGCTAAGTGAAAAGCAGCCAGATCCAAAAGACTACATACATACTGTTGATTCCTTTTATATGAAATGTCCAAAAGAGAGAAATCCAGAGACAGAAAGGAAAACACTAGTTGCCAGGGGTGAATAGGGAGTAACCGCTATCAGGTACTGGGTTTCTTTTTGCATAATAAGGTTCTAGAATTAGAAAGTGGTGATGTTTGCAGGAACTTGTGAATAAGTATAATTTAAGAAGGTGAATTTATGGTATAATTATATCCTAATAATACACCTGACAATAACATGCACCTGAACCATACCTTGAATAATATACAAAAATTAATTTGAATAGGATCATAGACCTCTTGTAAAACCTAAGATTATAAGCCTTCTAGAGACGAACAAAGGAGAAAATCTTTGTGATCTTACTTGAAATTTCTTATGATATGACACAAAAAGTATGATCCATAGAATTTGAAAGATTGATAAACTAAGCATCAAAATATAAAACTGCTCTTTGAAAGAGCATGAAAAGACGAGGCATAAAATGGGAGAAAATATACGTAACACATATATCTGATAAAATATTTGCATGTATATATAAATTTTTTCTTCAGAATATGAGACTGACATATTTTAAAATCTCTGAAAAATCAATAGTAAGAAAGCAAACAGTTGAATTAAACATGGTTAAAAATTTTGAAGAGACAATTCAAGTTGTGGATGGCAAATAAGCAGATGAAAACATGTTCACTGTTATTGTCATTGGAGAAATGCAAATGACAGCCACAATCATCTACCACTGCTCATTAGTCACAAGGCTGACCAAAAAGCCCTGACAATACCAGGCGCTGGTAAGAATGGAGATACACTGCAGCTCATGTGCACTGGTGGGAGTGTAAGGTGATACATGTCCTCTGGAAAACGGCTGAGCAGTCTGTTATTCAGACATATACTTACCACAGCTCATGGTATTTACCCAAGAGAAATAAAAATGTATGTTCACATGTGAACATTTACACAGGGAACAATCCAAATGGCCTTCATTTGGCAAATGGGTAAAGAAACTGTGATACAACTAGATGCTGGAACACAAACTATGATACAGCCAGATGGATGAATACCACATGGCTTTACACTAAATACAAGCAGCCAGACTTAAGGTGTGTACCGTACTGTATGATTCCATGGAGAGAATGTTCTGGAAAAGATAACTTCAGGGACAGAAAAGCAGGTGAGTGGTTACCAGGGCGCAGAACAGGCTGATCCAAAGGGCACGGGGAGCTTTCTGGGACGAGAGAAATGTTCTCTGTTGGATTGCGGTGGTAACTACATGCCTGATGTGCTGCCAAAACTCAGGCCAAACACAGAAAAGGATGAGTTTCACTATGTAAATTTCAACTCAGTACACCGGACTCCAAAAACCAGAGCTGTACAAATACCTGTTAAAAACCAATCTCGACAAAAACAGGACTCTACAAACATTACCATTGGCCTAATACAACCGCTCCAACAAGCAAGTGCCTTCAAGTCCCATCGCCTGACCCTCAGCCTACATTAAGACCACTGAAATCAGACAAGCAAAGTAATACTGCTGTTCTTCAATCACAGACACACAGCATTTGCCTTAGCCATGCAACACTCACTAATATTTTTAAGCAAAAAACATCCATGAATTTAATAGTAGCCACCAGTTTTCCAAAATTTAAAAAGCCCGTTTGGGCCCAATTGACACCAACAAAGTCCTTACCCCCAAGAAGTTAGTTCCATTCAGTGGTTTTTTACGGTAGACTATTTTCCATTTATTCAGCAGGAGTGACTAAACCACAGGGGTCCCTGCCAGCTTGGTGAAGGTATTTGAGCTTGGGCTAAGAATTTTGCTTTTCTTTTGTTCCCAATTCTTAAATGGAAAATAGTAAATGTTAAACGGATCACATATTGGTAATACAAAAGCTCTCTAGTTCAGTCAGAAGCCAAGGGACAGAACAAAACAGAACAAAACAAAAGGCAGCATCATCAACAATCACCCCCTGGCCTCCCACAGGCCCCTTAGCTCCCTCTCAGGGGGCAGAGGGCCGGGGCACTGATGGCTCACGGGGACACCGGATGCTCCCACTGAGCTTGCTCCAAAGGAGCTTAGGCTGCAGGACTGGAAAGTGTGGAGCCGCAGCCAGCTTCCTGGCTTCTCTGGCCCCCACACCTTGGTATGCAACCCAACAACCCATCTTGTCGTACAGATGAACTGATACAGAAGGCAGTGATACAGGAGAAAACGGAATAAAATGCGGAATACCTTGTATTTAGCTAATTCCTTTTCCAAATTGCATTTTTCTTGTGCTAGGTCTTGCTCGGCTTTATTCACCTGCCCAAGGGGGAAGGAAAAGAAGTGGGTCAGTGGTGAAGCAGTGGCAGGGGCCACTACAGCAGACGCGCCCTGCATGCAATGGATACCTACACTGCGAGATAGCACATCCTCTCAGAAAAGGGGCCACTCAGGGAGTCTCTGAGGCAAAGCAGACTTCACAACAGCCCTGAAATTAGAAAGACACGTCTGCATGTCAGACTCTGCTACTTCCTCCCTCTCTGGGAAGACAGGGCTGCTCCCCCTTCACTGCACTACTCACTCCCTCAGGGAATCCGTTCTTTAAAATCTGACTCCTAATCTAACACGAGGATGTGTGTGGACTGTTAGCTAACCTCACTGATGCTGCCTAAAGGTGTATTCTACTTGGCACAGACTATGTCACTTGTTAAAAGACAGATGAGCCACCTACAGATTTCTTTGATGAGCAACTCTGACAAACTGCCTCTGAGTGGTCTTTCTTGTCTCTGACACTTAAGATACAGTTTAGAACACGAGGAGCTGGCCTACGCCCGCCTCCACACCTCTCTCTGCAGGCTCTCCTTCTCCCCCAGCAGAGCGGTCTTCTCCTGCAGCGACGCTTTCAGCTCCCCGCGCAGCCTCACGATAGTTGACTCCAGCAGCTCTTTCTGCACCGCTGTCCTCTTCTCAGCATCCTGGGCCTTCTGGGTACACTGGTTATGCTCAAGCATCAAATGGTCTCTACGGCAAGGACCAAGGAGATAGGAAAGCGGCATGAGAGTTCTCCCGCAGAAAGGCTGAGGTTCTCAGAGCACACCTGCTGGGAGAGCCGTCATCACCATGGTCTCCCACAACTAGTTCCTGAGGGCACAGTGCCTGGCCAGCAAAATGTTTTCATACACAAAGGCAAGGACAAACGATGCCTAAGAAGTTGCCCACAAGTGACTTACAGATGTGCCTGGAGTTGAGTTTTCTCATTCTTAAGATTCTGCAGCTCACTTGTGATACTGGCATGGGCTGCATCCAGCAGTAAGTGTTGTTCTTGAAAAGTCTGTGTCACCCTTTTCTGCTCTACCTGAGTGTTAGAAATAATATTAAAAGCGGAGGCCCCAGAAAGTCATTTGATAGGGTTTCATTTGTAACTGATCAAAAATACTGAATTAGCTTAAAAAAACAAATTTATATACAGGGTGTCCCCCCAAAATATATACACACACTTTGAATAATTATAAAGGCAGTGTTTAAATTCATTTTTAAAATTTAGCTATCAGCTGTTAAAGTGTGTATACATTTTTTGGGACACTCTGTACATAATAACACTTATTTTTTTTATTTTTATTTCAATGCCTTTCTTTGGCCCCACTCTAACTTGACAAGCTTATAAAATTTTATAGTTCTATTAGGCCCCCCCCCCCAAAAAAAAATCAAGATTTATTATTTACCCAGCTTGTTGCAAAATTCCTAAAACTCCTAAAATGAGTATATTTTTAGAACTCATGGGGCCCTCCAAGAACTTGTTTGCCTGCATATTTGGTGACTCCTCCCCATACACATACGTATGTAAAAAAAAGTTAAATTTCAAAACTACTATCCCATAGAAAACGAGTACACCAACTCCATAATCCTGCAAGCATTTATGAGGTACCTACTGTGCTACTTGCTACAGAACATGCAAAGGAAGTATCAGACACAGCCCTGGACACTGAACTGCTCGTACGTTTATACAAGGGAGGAAAGGTACATACTTTTTAAAGAGTAAATTATAAAGCAAAGGCAAAGTGTGAACTAGTGCATGACTTAGCAGTTTATCTCATCAACTCATGTATCATAGGAATTTGGAGAGTGAAATGAAGAATGTTGTTAATTTGATAATATTTCATAGATGAAGTAGATCTTATGAAAATTAAAATTTGGATGGTGGAATGGTATGAAAATATATAATCAGGATAAATCTTGGCTCTTGATTCCTTAATTGATCAGAATTAAGTAACATCTAAAAAACTAAGGAAATAAGAAGACTTACCTGTACTTTCTCTGATGCTTCATGAAGGGATATTATTTCAGACCGCAAATACGCATTTTTCTCATGTTCCTTGTTGAGAGACATCTGCACGATCTATAGGAGAAAACATTTTCTCTCTCCTTTTTTTTACATGTGTGATCTACTCTTACATGCATCTCTCTCATAATACCTGCTCTGTCTCAGACAAGGAAAACTAAAGGACTTCATTATCGTTAAACCAGCTTTACAAGAAACGTGAAAGGGTCTTTTTTAAGTAGAAAAGGGAAGGCCATAACCAGAAATAAGAATAGATGAGAAAGAAAAAACTTCACAGGTAAAGCTATATATTCGATAAATACAGCAAATCAGACATTTAAAAAGCTACAATGAAGGTTTAAAGAAAAAAGTAACAAATTCAACTCAAACCACAAGTACTTAGGAGATGTACAACACAACAGTCTAAAATATGACATCAATAACATAAATCATGAAGAGGGGGAGTAAAAATGTAGTCCTTATAGAATATATAAGGTGTCCCCCAAAATGCCCACATATCCTCTGAATAATTATAAAGGCAGTGTTCATTAAAATACATTTCATTTTAAAAATTGAGCTATCAGCCGAAACCGGTTTGGCTCAGTGGATAGAGCGTCAGTCTGTGAACTGAGGGGTCCCAGGTTCGATTCCAGTCAAGGGCGTGTGCATTGGTTGCGGGCGCACCCCTGGTGGGGGGTGTGCAGGGGGCAGCTGGTCAATGTTTCTCTCTCATCAACATTTCTGGCTCTTTATCCCTCTCCCTTTCTCTCTGTAAAAAATCAATAATATATATATATTTTTTAAAAAAATTGAGCTATCAGATGTTATAGTGTATATACATTTTTTGGAACACCCTGTATTTGAAATTAAAACACTTATCAGATTAAAATGGAGTGCTATAGATAACAATGATATACATTAACCTCATGGTAACCACAAACCAAAAACCTTAAAAGATACACTAAGAACAAAGAGGAAGGGACCTAAACAAAACACTAAATGAAAACAGCAAATTATATGGAAGAGATAACGAAGGACAGAAGACAACTATAATAAAACATAAAAACAAATAATAAAATGGCAATAATTACATACTTATCAATGTTTATTCTAAATGTAAATGGATTAAATGCTCCAACAAAGACGTAGTGTAGATGAATAAACTGAAAAACATGACCCACCTATTTGCTACTTACAAGAGACACACTTCAAACAGGAAGACACTACAGACTGCAAGTGAACAGATGGAAAGAGATACTCCATGCAAACAGAAATGGAAAGAAAGCTGCAATAGCATTAACTACATTAGACAAGATGTAATTAGACTTTAAAACAAAAAGTGTAAAACAAGTGAAAGAAGGACATCCATAATTATAAAGTCAACCCAAAAAAGGATTGTAAATATCTATGTGTGTGCAAAAACACCTAAATATATAAAGTAATTATTAGTGCATGTAAAGGGAGAAATCCGCAGTAATACAATAATAGTAGAGAATTTTAATACCCAACTCACATCAATGAATAGATCCAGACTCGAAAATTAATAAGGAAATAATGACCTTAAGTATTACATTAGAAGAGATCAACTTAACAGACACTTATAGAACATTTCATCTGAAAACAGCAGAATATACCTTTTTTTTTCAAGAGCACATAGAACATTTTCTAGGATAGATCATTATTAGGCCACAAAAAAAAGTCTCAACACATCCAAAAAAACTGAAGTAATTTCAAGCATGTTCTATGACCACAGTGGCATAAAACTAGAATCAACTTCAGGTAGAAAACTGAAAAAACAACAACACAGTAATATGTGGAAACTAAACAACATGCTACTAACCAGCCAACAAATCAAAAGAGGAAATAAAACGAGATTAAAAAAAAACTATCTTGAAACAAATGAAAATGAAAACACAACTTTCCAAAATTTATAGGATGCAGCAAAAGCATTCTAAGACAGAAGTTCATAACTTACAGGCCTAACTCAAGAAACAAGAAAATCCCAAACAGACAATACAATTCTACACTTAAAGGAACTAGAAAAAAAACAAACAAGCCCACAGTAAACAGAAGGAAATAGTTAAAATTAGAGCAGAAATACATGAAATAGATTTTTAGAATAAAGATTTTAGAAAAATCAGGATTATAAATCAACATGAGTGGGGAACTATTACTTAGTGAAGAGAGGAAAGACACCTTTGCCTTCTCCAGCCTCAAAACTTACCTTATTTTCTTCAACCAGCTTGGAAATGAGGTCATCTCTAGAAACTAAAAACAAAAGGTCCACATGACTACGATGAAGATGTAATACAACTACACCGAAACCACACAGTATGTTTCCTCTTAGAATGAGCTTTGCTTTTCTCTCTTTTTGTTTGTGTTTCGTGGAAATAAGTAGGATGCAGACATTTCTAACACTTTTATAGGAACTAAGTCAGGAATTATTAAGAAACCGGTCCAGTGTCACGTGCTAAGGGAAATGAGGTCACATTTCACCCCATGCATAGGGGATGATGAATCTGAGAGATTTTAAGCCAGGGGCACACAATCAAAACCTTTTTCTTAAAGAGATCACACTAACAGAGGCTCAGTAGACAGGGAGGTCAGTTTAGTAGCTGTGGCAGTAACCAAAGTGTAAGATGAGAGAGCTGGCTTTAAGGTGATGGCAGTGGGGTGCGGAGGGCAAGCAGACTCGTGAAATAACAAGCGCAGTAACTGTCAGGTTGTGGTGGGAGACAGGTGGGACAAAGGCAGACCAATCCACGAGAATATCTAGCGTTCAGACTGAGGCAGCAGGGAAGACAGGGCAAGGGGCAGGTTTGGGGACAAATGAGCAAGGACTGTAATACTTGAAGTCTTCGTCATGCTTTCTGAAGCAGCTGAAAGGCACCATGTATAGACGTTTACTGGCAGTAACATTCCATATGGAGCTCAGGAGGATTTTGTGAGGAGAAAAAAGACTTTCAACTACAGAGAGTATGTAGGTTGACAATAAAATCAAAGACTGAAATGGGGAACAGGTTTAGTCCCAGCTATCCTCTTTACTGTGGGTCCTTGGATAGAGATCTTATTTCTTTAAATGGCTTCTATTCTCTTATCTTCTCACAAGGCTGCTGGAAAGCTCAAGAGATAATGTGGTAGCACCATAAAATGTAACATATTTTTGTCGCCATGCAATCATAGGAAGACAGAACATTATCTCGGGGCATCATCAGTGAGAATGTCACTGAATAATTCACTACTCAACAACTATGAGTAGTAAGTCAGAACCCTCAATGGATTGCCCTTTACTCCATTTTCATAATTTTCATTTCCTTTTTGGTATTCCCTGCCCCTACCACAGCCAGCCAGGAGAGAAGGCATATGGGCAAGAACACTGGGCCTTGAGTCAACAGATCCAGGTGCAGGCCTCATTTCACCATTTACTCCTTCTGTAGCTCTTGGAAGCATGAATAAGTGTGCACATTACATGAGGTCATTACTGTGAAAGTTCTGTGTAAACCATGTGTACTGGTATGTGAGGCACAGTCCTGTAACTCTGTGATCTCTAGAGACAAGAGGATCTGAAAATGACTTTACAACTCTGTATTACAAACAGCAGCATGGTAAGGGCTGGTGGGCTGAGGAAGCAGGACTCTGAGCAACCCACATAGTCTAGACTCTTCCATTTCTTAGCTCTGACACCTCTAAGGATGCTGCTTACACATCTGTACAATGAGAAGATTAGTCGAAGCTCTAAGGCACCTTACATCCATTTCTATAAATAGAGGCTAACCAAAATACATTGGAAACTTGAAGAATGGTGAGTCTGACATGATAAATGATTAGAATCAGTAGATCAGCAAGGATTAATGGCCTTCTTTCCTTATTAACATTCCATTATCCACTATCCAATTTAATTCTAGAAACCAAATGTTTCCACATCCACAAATGCTTAAATAAACCTGAAAAAATACCTAAATAAAAATAGTTTACAATTAAGAGGATCACCAACATTCTTTTTTCTCAGTGTCACAGATAGATATTCAGGCCCATGGGAAGTACTAATGACACTGGCCACTTCAAGAATTTGGGATCTTAAAGAATTTTTGCATAAAAATCTCAAAAAACTAACCGCAGTGTAATTTCTAGCACCTATTCCCATACTTAGGTCAGACTTGAGCTGTAAGACAGCAGCCTCCAGCTCTCCTTTCTTTTGTTGCTCCTCTGTCAGTAATTCTTGGGTGTTCTGTATAGAACTGCGCAGGGACAGGCAGTTTTGCTTCAAAATTTGTACCTGGAATTGTACAAGAAAAACTCCTTTTCTATAAGGTAAAGATTTCTAATAAACTACCTTCTCGCACGTGGGAGACATCGCGGGAGGAGAAGGGGAGTTCACCTACACGTTACAGTTGACCTCTCCAGAGGCGGTCCTGCAGCCTCGTGGGCCAGTGGCGCTTCCCGTGCACACAGCACAGCAGGCACAGCCACAAGTGACTGTCCAGCTCTTGAAATGTGGCCAGAGTGAGTGAGAAACTGAATTTTTAATTTTTAAAGAATTTTAACTACTTTAAATTTAAATAGCCACATGTGACTAGTGGCTACCATCCTGGCAGTGCAAGTCATAGCAATAAAGGATCACTTACAAATTCCTTTGGAATCTTTTTTTTAAATTATATTGTGAAGGACAGCCATTAAAATAATTAAGTTAAGATAATGGATTACATATTCTTTAAGTTATTAATTGTTAATTAAATAATGATTATGTTAAAATAAAATTAGGTTAAAGATTATATGTTCCAATTATAGGTATTCACTGAACCACCCGGCCAGGGTATGAGTCTGCATTTTTACTAATTGCCTTGGGTGCTTAGAATTGAAAATATTCTAAATTGCAGATAGGTACTCCAAATAACAACTACGATAAAGGCAAACACAGTATATTAAAATAAATAAGAATTGAAAACAGACCTGTAAACACATCCCTAATTATTTTACTTATTAGTATTTTTTGCTCTAAGTATTAGCTCAGTTTCATCTTTATTTCCTATCCACGTCACATATATATAGTATGAGGCCAGGGTAATGCCTTCTAAAATCAAACCCTGGAAGAGAGATTGCATGATGTGGTGGGAAGGATCCTGTCCCAAATAACAAGTTGCAGTTCATAAGCATTCACCTCTCGAAGCCTGAGGCAAATCCATCTCTCTGGTCCTAAGCTCCCTCATTCATCAACTGAGTGTCAGAATGAATGACAGCAATCCTTTCTGATTTTGCACTAAGATATTTAAAATAGAAGTAACACAAAGAAAAGTTAATAATTCAATAAACCTAAAGGAAGTGATCAGAACTATAGGCTCTTAGGTAAAATGGTCAGCTTTTCTCTTTCCTAAAGACAAAGAGAGGCAAGATGTCTACCTGCTTGCGTTCCGCCTCCACTGCTGTCCCCATCGCTTGTATTTTGAGCAGCATGGCCGATCCAGAGTTCTCAAGAGAATTCCTCAGACACTTTTCCTGAGACAGCTGTCTCCGCAGCTACAGAGCAACAGTGCAGTTAGGCAAGACCCAGGGACATCGGAACAGCTTAACAAAGGCCAGAGTCACCTGGAAAGTTTGCCTGACATGCCATCTCACCCCCAAATTTTCTTCACTAGCCTATGACTACTCAGAAACTAATGCATAACCTTTCAAGAAATAAGAGTCAAATTTGTTGCTCTTGTCCTATAGTGTAAGTCTGTTTCCCATAATTCAGGTCAAGACTCATTAACAAGTTGCAAGCAACACTTGGAAAAGGACAAAGAATACAAAGCAGGTATCAGAGCACACAGCAAAGAATAAGAAACGGTAAGTACCGCTTCACGAACGTCTGTGTGCATGCACAGGTGGGCAGTGTTGCATTGTTAATAGAAACCTAAGAATGGGCTGTGGTGAAAGTTTGAAAAACACTAATATCATACTTTAGGATATATATTTTCTGTATTTCTTTCTGGCTATATATTTTTAAGTCTTATTTCCATATATTTTTATTTAACCTATATATTGTTATTCCATAGCATTATAAACATACTTCTGAAGGCTTATTTCAATCCATTTTGAAATTTAAAGGTCTTAACAAATACTGAAGTACTAACTTAAGTAACAGATAATATTGACACTCAAGAATTGGGGTCCACTACCTTATTCTCTCAATAAATGATAGTAAAATGAATTAAGAGATAAAAGAGTCTCTTCTATCATGAGGTAAGATGATTCTTTCCAGCTTAAAATGGGAATTCAAAATGCCATTTATTTTATGAACTCATATTAATATTGAGGTTTTTAGGCCACAGTGTATACTGAGTAAGTCTTCTATTTTCAGCTGCAAATTTTTAGACCAACAACTTTTAGCAGCTATCTACTTCCCAATTCCCAACCTGTTCCTAAAACTTAGGCTGAAATGGAGGTTTCACAGTAAAATTAGATGTGCAGGCTGACTAAAAGCTTTTCATTTTAAACACAACTGCAGTATGACGGTGCTCACTTACTCTACTAACAGACAACCGCATGGATTCTATGGTAACCGTTTCCCTCTGGGCTCTGGTTTTATGGCTGCATTGAGGCAAAAGGAAGTCTTATGCCAAAAGGCAGGCACTTTCAGTTAAATTTCACAGGATGTATTTTTGAGCTCTTCCTATTACACAGTCACATATTTCCTTCTTCAAAGGTTTCTGTTCATTCTACTTCCTTGACTTTTCTTATGCAATTCCAATGCTCCCTGCGCCCTCCACCAGCTTTTTATCTTACCTCCTGAACTTTAAGGTTCATTTTACGCTTTGTGGTCTTCAGCTCCTCTTCCATAATGGCTGCATTCTTCTAAAAGTAGATGGAGAAAAGGTTCTAAATGATCTGCAATGGCAGGTAGCCACTATCTAGACTTCTTCAAGCAACCTATAAATGCTATTCTGATACAGTTATAAATGCTTCTTACTGTGAGTCTGAAGACGTTTGATATTTTAAGTTATTTTATTACTTTGGTTCATAACTTCCATAATTTTTCCATGTCTGATTTAATAATTAGAGGAGAACCTGGGAATGGATAGAAATTTTTCTTACAGGACATATTCCTACTTTTTTTAAGTACCATATTCCTGCTACACTCAAAGATGACCCATGCTTAGGAGTTCAGGATGAAACAGAGCTTTCACAATGGAGTCTCTTCTATATTATTACTGATGGCACCACATATGTGAAACCTCAGAAGTCATCTTGTTCTTCTTTCCTACCTTCAGGCCCCATCCAGCACCATAATCTGCACTTCTATCTTCCCAGAATATTCCTTCTTAAATGCCATGACCCTAGCTTAGAACTAGTAAGGCTCACGCATCCAATATGCAATGCATTCGTAAATCTTTCCCCGCCTTTAATCTCTTCTCCTGACTTCCCCTGTGTTCAATGCCCCACACTTCTGCCAGATTAGTTTTCCTTACATCATTGCCTTATCCAAAACTTTAGTCACCCCCTCCAGTCAAACCCGACTACTCACTCTTTTTAAAAAAAATATATATATATTTTATTGTTTTTTTACAGAGAGGAAGGGAGAGAGATAGAGAGCTAGAAACATCGATGAGAGAGAAACATCGACCAGCTGCCTCCTGCACACCCCCTACCGGGGATGTGCCCGCAACCAACGTACATGCCCTTGACCGGAATCGAACCTGGGACCTTTCAGTCTGCAGACCGGCACTCTATCACTGAGCCAAACCGGTTTTGGCTCGACTACTCACTCTTGATTTTGAGACCCTCTGTAACAGCAGTCACCAACCGGTGGTCCGCGGGTCACGGGTGGTCTGTGAGGTCTGAAAGGCTGGCGACCGCTGCTCTATAACATGACCCTTAGCTAATTTCCAACTTATTTCCCACAGACAAATGTTCAACCTGTCATGCTAGTGTATGCAATTCCCCCTAACTGCACCCAGTGGAAAGATGGAGGTTCAAACCTGGGTTATGGGAAGACGACGGAAAAGTATGATCTTGGAGAAGTGCCTTCTCTCTGGCCCCAGTACTCTTACCATTAAAATGGGGACAATAATATCCTACATCAACAGGGTTTGCGAGGATTAAACAAAATAGCCTGTTGAACATCTATTACACTGCCTGGTCTGTAGCGGGAAAACAAAGTTGTTAATTTTCCTTGTCTTTATTCTTTGCTGCTCTGTGTGTGCAACTTGAAACGCTCTCACCTCACTACTTTGTCTCTAAAAGCTCACTTCCTCTTTCTTAAAGCATACCCCATCTGTTCTAGAGGGTAAGATATGCACCCTCTCAAACCCGTCCAACACAAAACTCTTCAATACTCACTTACTGTTCTATATTGTCCATTAACATTTTCTATGCCTTTATTTCGTCTCTATTTCATTTCTCAAGCTATGCCTTAGCACAGTGGTCGGCAAACTGCGGCTCGTGAGCCACATGCGGCTCTTTGACCCCTTGAGTTTTTAGCAAAGGCCAGCTTAGGAGTACCCTAATTAATAACAATGTACCTACCTATATAGTTTAAGTTTAAAAAATGTGGCTCTCAAAAGAAATTTCAATCGTTGTACTGTTATTTGGCTCTGTTGACTAATGAGTTTGCCGACCACTGCCTTAGCACCTAGGCCCTTAAAGAGCACAGACTACCTTATATATCTGGACCCTCAGCTGTATGCACAGTGTAAGGGCTCTATAAATACTCAATTACTGATAGCACACCTCATTTAAGTTATCCATGTGGATACATTTTAAATGTCAAGAAACCTCACATCAACATCACCTATTTTTAAACATCAGTCTGACGGGTATATTGCCTCCTCCAGCCAACTCCTACCACGAGTGTGTGTTTCCGAGCTCTCGACCCAAACCTTTGTCTCTGAGGCCATCTCCAGAGTGGCAGTCAGCCGCTGCACTTCGTCCTGGGCCTTGTCTTCTTCCTCTTTCACGTCTCTCAGTTGCTGGCGCAAATTCAGCACTTCGAGATGCAACAGCTTCAGGTCCTGGGAATGTTCTTCCTGTATTGTGTTTAGTCGGTCCTTCAGAAAAGCTACCAGACAGCACGGGAGGGTCAGAGAGCAGCGGAAAGCTCAGGGATGAAAAGAACCGTCAACCCGGCAAGCACCCACCCAGCACCACACTTCCGATGGCTCTCTCCTCTTACCTGCTTTCTCTGGATTCATATCTCTCTCCGTTTGCAGACAAAAGATGTTCATCCTCAAGGACTGGATGAGGCCTTCCAGGTGGCACATTCGATTTACCAGAAACTCACAGTTCTTCCATAAAATATCCGTTTTTCCTGAACAAGTTACTTCACTCTGGATAGCACTAGTGATGTTCTGGTTCTCAGGTGCTTCTGAACACTTTGGGGTTTCAAGCTGGTTTCTGGACAAAGATCCCAATACAACAAAATTATGCGATGCAATGGGTACTACCGAGATCGAAACCAGGGTGTTAATGCACTGTTTCTACTAAGAATGCAAACTATACCTAGTTAACAAGCAACTGTTATTCCCTCCAAGTTTAAATATAGAGCGCACTATTAAGTAAAAACTATATAGGAGGGGCAAAGGTCACTGACTTCTTAATGGCTGCTTATTTCAATATGAACTTTTCATAAACTTTCTGTATGTAAAAAGCAGTGATACACAAAACATGGTAAAGTTTAATTCTGTAATAGTGAACTAAGAATTAAAGTTAGTGTGGAAACAATATACTTATGTTTTTAAAAAAAATATTTCAATAAGGTTAAAATAAACATTCCTTTTCTGTTCCTACATACTCAACATGTATAAACATTTAATTTTTACTGCTGAAAAGTTCTTTATTCTATGGGTGCTATAATACCAACTAGACTAACTTAGGTCTTTTTTATTTATTTTTAAAAATATATATTTTTTATTGATTTTTTACAGAGAGAAAGGGAGAGATAGAGAGCTAGAAACATCGATGAAAGAGAAACATCGCCCAGCTGCCTCATGCACACCCCCTACTGGGGATATGCCTGCAACCAATGTACATGCCCTTTACTGGAATCGAACTTGGGACCTTTCAGTCCGCAGACCGACGCTCCACCACTGAGCCAAACCGGTTTCAGCTAACTTAGGTCTTTATGAGAGGCACGAGGAAATACAGAGGCACACCTCAGAGATATTGCAGGTTTGGCTCCAGAACACAACAATAAAGCAAGTACTACAATAAAATAACCTATCATTCTTTTGTGGGGGGAGGGACTTGCCTTCAATTAAAAAAAAAAAAAGGAATATCTAGGAAGTGCAATAAAATAAAGAGCAATAAAACAAGGTATGCCTGTGTGTACTTTCAAATAAATCATACCAGTAAATTTGATATTGGCTGTTTTTGCACCAAGATTTCTCAGGCCATTGATAACCATTATTTAATGGTAATAACTTCTTTAGCAGCACAAGCGGAGGGAAAAAAAACACAATTTTTTTTTTTGAGTACCTCATTCTAAATTTAAAATTTTTAAGACTTAAAACCTCTCTTTTAATTTACAATAAATCTGGGAAAAGAAAATGACCAAATTAATGGCATGAATCAAGTTCTACCTAACCTAATAAGCCAATTTTTGATTAACAAAATAAAAACCAAACTTTTTTCTAATTACACAAAAAAATTACATGTTTGTTTTAAATCAAGTGTCAACAGAAAACAGAATATCAAATATCTGTCTAGGGGAATCATGGCAGTAGTTCTCACAGGATGCAACTGGAAGCTGTTATTTCTTTTGTAAATGCCTATTTCATCTGCCAAAGAGTGACTCCTTATTAATAACCAGTGAAGTGAAGTTCTCTAACCCGCAGCGATCAAGTTCACATCTCATTTGTTACCTTTTTGCACCAAAGTCCAACATTATTAGGTCATCCCTCAAAGAACTGGTCTGTTCCTCAACGATCCTCATCCTCTGCTTCAGGACTGTGGCTGTTTCAGAAGCTGTAGCATTGATGTGGGTTGGAGAGACAACTGATCTGGTTACTGTAGCTTCTATATGCACCTGAGATTAAAGCCACAATGTCAGTGCCGTAGATTCTATTATTTCCACGTAGCCGCCGCCCCTTCTTGTGGTGGCACTATACATCCATCCTGTTGTGCTCAGAGGTGGTCATGTGTCCTGTTTTGGCCAATTAAATGTGGGTGGAGCTTAAAGAGCTAACTTGTCGTTCACCATCTCCCCCACACACTCTTCCTCCTGCACGAGATGGGCAACATCCCAGACAGGGCCTGCTCCGCCTGCCAGATTCCACAGGGAATAGGACAGGAAGAACCACCTTGACCTCCAGTGCGACTGAGCAATAAGCTGATGTTGTTTCACTAGAGGCCCGGTGCACAAATTTGTACAGGGGTGGGGTCCCTCTGTCTGGCTGGTGATTGGGGCCAATCGGGGCCTGCTCGCCTAGTCCAGGGGAAGGCAATGTAAGAGGTTGCCTGGCTGAAGGAGGTTGATTGTGGAAATACAATGACCACCAGGGGGCAGTTCCTGCATTGAGCATCTGCCCCCTGGTGGTCAGTGTGCATCATAGCCACTGGTTGACCAGTCATTCTGTTGCTTAGGCTTTTATATGTAGAGATAGACGATAGATAAGGCAATGAGGCTGTGGAGCAGTTTGTCACCGCATCACAGTCTAGTCCCATGGTCGGCAAACTCTGGCTTGCGAGCCACATGTGGCTCTTTGGCCCCTTGAGTGTGGCTCTTCCACAAAATACCACAGCCTGGGCGAGTCTATTTTGAAGAAGTGGCGTTAGGAGTTTAAGTTTAAAAAAATGTGGCTCTCAAAAGAAACTTCAATTGCTGTCCTGTTGATATTTGGCTCTGTTGACTAATGAGTTTGCCGACCACTGGTCTAGTCTGTCCTCTCTGCTTCTTTCAGACACACATTAGGACCTACGATTCGGCTGTTGGAGTTATCCCCTCTCTCATTACCAGACATTTCCACTTAACATGAATAACAGAGCACAGAAGGGATTCCAGGACCGAGGCTGACAAATTAGGGACAGGAGGAGTGTGCAGGAGTTCAAACCGAAACAACAGGAGCTCCTTTTCCATCTTCAGAGCCTAGCGCAGTGCATGGGGCCCTGGGTGAGGGTACGGGGAGGGGCCAAACCCACGGGCGCAGGTCCAGGGCAGACAGCTGGGAAGACACGTCGATTCGTAGCACCTGCACGCTAACAAGCAGGCCGAGGCGCCTAGCAGGTGACCCAAACCAAACCGCATCAGCACCGCAATGGCTTTCCCGGGAACTGCAGCCCAATATAAGGCCGGGGCTGCGGCTTCTCCGGGGCCTCCCTCGGTGCCGTCTTCGCCCTCAGCTCCAGCCGGGGCAATGCAAAACCTTCGCTTCCGAACGGCCTCGCCGGCTTCCAAAGCCAAGGCGCCACGAAGCCGCGTCCCGAAGTCCGGAGACCAGCCTGGCCTCGGCCCGCGAGGGGAGGACAACGGGGTGGGCGGGCGGTGGCGGCCTCTGGGCCCCGAACCCGCGCTCCCAGCTCCCTCGCCAGGGCCCCCCGGCCTCACCCCACTGTCCATGGGTCCGCCTGTGGCTCCGTCCCGCCGCAGGAGGGCCGGTTCCCACAGAGCTAGGTCCGTGTTTCAAACCAACCCGCGGCCCGGCGCGAGCTGTCCCGTAGACAGGCGCGCCGGCGGCAGGGCATGCCGGGAACTGCAGTCTTCCCGGCCCAGGAGGGCCCTGCGCCCCGGGCGGGATCCAGACCGGCATCCGGCGGCGCGCCCGGGACGCGCAGTCCCATGACCCGGATGACGACAGGGCCTGCATTGTGCCCGCACGCGCGGCACGCCGGGATATGTAGTTTCCTCCCGCTCACTTCCCGGAGTCTCCTGGTCCAGTATATTTGGCTGTTACGGGTCTGCGTTTGGGTAATTCTCAACAAACACAAAGTGAGCGTCCAAGATCAGAAAACGCTTTTCGTGTGGGGAGGACGGAAGTATCAAGCAACTTCTGAATAGAAATAATACATATAATGAGCAAAAAAAAAAAAAAAAAAATGGGTAAAATTACAGAGTTCACACATTCTCCTTACAGAAAACACACACACACACACACACACACACACACACACACACACACATACACACAAAACAAAACAAAAAACAAAACAAAACAAAAAACAGGCTCCTTTTCATCCTCGCCTGTGATGGCCAGACAGGAAGCAAAGCTTATGGAATCTGCTTTCTTGTGTGTCTTCCGTGTAATCCATTTCTTGCCTTTTGAGTGAATAGATATTTCTGAATCTGTAAAAAGGAGCTAAGACATGAAAAAAGTATTGAGAATAAAGCTGCATTCGTTTTTTGGTTCTGCTGTAACTTGGGGGATTCACAGTTAACAACACGGCTGGCGTTTAATTAGCTGAACAGAACACCTGTTACCACCGCCAGGCCAGTCCTTAAGGGCGCCCCTGAGCTTGACTTCAGCCTCAGATGAATGCAGTCAGATCCCAGATGAGGCCTCATCGGCTTAGCCAGGGCCTCACTGAATTGATCAGGTTATTCTAGGTCCTCTGCTAGCTGCGCCTCAACGTGAAGGGAGAGAATGCCCATCAAACCACGCTGTGAGCACAGCCGGTGACAGAGAGATGAGGCTGCAGGCACTGGTCGGAAGAAGGGACCAAATCAAGCTCTTAGTATGAAAAGTGGGGGAGTGGTGCAGAGGAGCAATTATTTTCTCAGTGTGTCATTTTCTCTTGTGATCACGACCTCTGATTTATCTGCAGAGATGAGGCCTGTAGTCCAAAAACTTCAAGGTCAGGAGAGCTGTCACCTTGAATCTCCATATTAAGCAGCAGTCAGGGAGCCATATTGATTAAATATAGCATCCTTTTCTCTACCATCCACATAAAAACTTAACTCAAGCACTTACAGTGTCAGAGGAAAGAACATTGTCTTCCATATACTAATTCATCAGCTAGAGAGGGCCAGTCTGGATACCCGAGAAGTCATTATATTAAATGTTTGTTTTATTGTTTCGAGTGCCTGATTTTTCTGGATTTCCCTCTTGATTTTCAACTGGTAAATATTTTTATATTGTTGGCCCCATTCAAATAACAGGATCTTTTCACCTGAGTTCCATGTGGCTCACATGCTTTTTCAATATGATACCATACAACCCTCCGGCTGGTTTTCCAAGCACCCTTCCTAGTGAGTCCTTCATAGAACTGCTAAAATGGTCTTTAAAAAGGTAAATCTGACTCTTGGTCCCTCGCTTAAAGAAACATTTAAAGGGCCCTTCCCCCCCTTTGAACTAGTAGTTTTCCATAGATCAGGATGAAGCCCAAACTGCTCATGGCTTCAGCCTAATTCACCAGCCTCATCTGCACCTGGTTCCCCAGGGGAACATGGAATTCAAGCCTCCTGGCAGCCTTTGTGCTTGCAGACTCTGTGCCTGCTGCCAGATTTGTCCTTTCTTTTGCCATTCTGGTGAACTCAACAGAAATGGTACCTCTTCTGTGAGGCCATTCTGTTCCCTCCCAAAGTACTGACTTATTGCACTGCCTAGTAATTGTCAGTGTGTCTTATCTCCCCTTAATTAGACAGTAGGCTGTTTGAGGACAGGAGTTTTGTTATTTTTATTTTGATCTTTTTATTGTCAACGCCAAATACGACGTCTGGCACACAGTAGATGCTTGGTAAGTCCTTAAGAGCGAATTAGTGAATACATTTTGAACACTTCTAAGGGAGAAGCTGCGTCCCATTTCCTTCACTATTTACATATTCAGCACGTGCTTTCTTGGCAATGATCTGACATTGCAAGATACACCAATGACTGCAGAGTTAACCTACAACCATCTCCCCCCTCAGAGTTAAAAAAGTATTCCGTGGATAAAGAAGCACGAACACACAAAATTTAGTTTCCGTATCTGTGGGGACAATGAGACATGAGAATGGCAAATTCACTAACCGGTTTCTCACCTTATGTGGACAGTCCAGACCTTTGTTCACTATTAGGTCTGGGTGTGAAGATTAGAATTTGGAGGAGTCTCTTGGTTTTTGTAAGCTGGTGAATTGGCCCAGGGCTGGGTAGATACACTTGCCTGCTAGTTGAATTGGTTGTGAGTAATAATCCTATACAATAAAGAGCTATTATAATATATGCTAATTAGACCAGACAGCAGAACAACCTTCTGGACCGGCCAGTGGGCAGGGCCATGGAGCAGCAAGGGCTGAGCCCCTCACACGAATTTTGTGCATTGGGCCTTTAGTGCTTCTTATAAGATCTCTGGCAGTAGGTACACCAATAAAACATGGTGAAATAAGATGCTACTGACCAAATAAGAATAAGGTCAAAGTTCTGATGATATCGCTGCAGCTTCATTTTACATTCCTTAAGATTATTCTTTTGGTCTTAATAGGATAATACATGATCAGGATGAGTGTTCTCTTTAAATTGCCTCAAATAGTTCAGCTCTCTGATATTTCTGATTGAGTAGTAATAACAGTGTATGTCGTTTTTTTGAATCTGTGTGATCTGTTGCCTCACTTGATCCCAGCTGTAACCTGAAGATATGGTACTTATATTCCCATTTTATCACTGAGACCACTGAGATTTGGAGAAGTTAAGTAATTTGCCTCGAGCTATACAGCCAGTAAGTGACAGAATTATTATTTGGACTTGAGTCTCTATCTCTTCAGTGAAACCAAAAGCTAGTTCTTCGAATAACATTGATGAGCTGTTGAGCAGGCTGGCCAAGAAAAAAAGCGAGAAGACAAAAATTACAGAGATTAAGAGGATAATGAGGAAAGACTACAAACAACTCTATGTACGTAGATTGCCAACTTAGATAAATCATTGTGAGACACAAACTAATTAAACTCACTAAAAAAATAATAACCCGGTAGTCCTATACGTATTTTCTGATTACAAATTTATTGATTTTTCTCCCTCCTTATGTTTATTATGTAAACCAGAGCACTCTTGAGAGCAAAAGGGGGCCAAGACAAAAAGCACAAACTGAAAATGTTGCAGGAACTCCAGGGTATATGGCCATCCTCCCTACAGGATATGTGGAATGGGAAAAATCATGTTTGTCTCTTAAAACCACATAAAGAAACATGCACACCGAGGCTGGTTTGGCTCAGTGGATGGAGCCTCGATCTGCAACTGAAAGGTCCCGGTTCAATTCCGGTCAGGGGCATGTACATTGGTTGCGGGCACATCCCCAGTGGGGAGTGTGCAGGAGGCAGCTGGTCGATGTTTCTCTCTCATCGATGTTTCTAGCTCTCTATCTCTCTTCCTTCCTCTCTGTGGAAAATCAATAAAATATATTAAAAAAAACTTACACATAATATATATCTTTAAAAAATATATTTTATTAATTTTTTACAGAGAGGAAGGGAGAAGGGTAGAGAGTTAGAAACCTCAGTGAGAGAGAAACATCGATCAGCTGCCTCCTGCACACCTCCTAGTGAGGATGTGCCTGAAACCAAGGTACATGCCCTTGATTGGAATCGAACCTGGGACTCTTGAGTCCGTAGGCTGACACTCTATCCACTGAGCCAAACCAATCAGGGCCATAATAGGTATCTTAAAGAAGGTTACATTAAATGTAAGTGATGTATTCAGGTAAGGATTCTGAATTAATAATATTCCTCCTTGTTATAGTAATAAAGTATGAACCCAGACCTTCAACACACAAGGCTCCTAGAGATAAGCTACAGGTGAACTGTACAACAAGAATGGATCTCCAAAATGCAGGAAATTTCAGGAGGGTGAAAAAAGTGGAAATTAAAATAACATTTCACCCAGACATTGAGTGCTAAACAATTAAATCTTCTTTCTCAGGATCTGTTCCTTTATTGCTATTGGTCTATGATTTCTTCATAGATATTTCTTTATTATATTTGGGCACAGATGGTACCTTGTTACAATTGTGGTAGCCCCCTATAGAATATAAATATATATTCTCAGAAACACACACACATATATATAAAACCGTGGTGGTCAGCACATATATATGTGTGTGTGTGTGTATTCCACTAAAAACATTCAAATTGAGGTTAAGGGATCACTTGGATATCTTGGTGAAATAATTATTAGATGGAAAAAGGCTGAATCTTCATGAAACATTATTTGATAAGATCATATTACAAAGTAGAATCATTTCTCTTCTGGCCGTCAACAAATAGAAAAATCCATATGGATGTTGCTTTCTTCAGTGTTTCCCCATAGGAATCAATACAGAAGGCCCATAAAGTAATACATCCATTTACACATATTGACAGTAAAAATCAAGCTTCTACATTAGCTCTAAAGCACACATTGTCCCCTGAAACCTTTGACAGCTTGGCTGGTTTCATTTTTATCCTCATATACTCTCTTCCTGGAAAGCATCCTGGCTTCTTAAAATAGGTATTCATGGAAAACATTCTCTCGAGCTATAGTGTTACCAAGAGTCATTTTCTTTACTTGCATAAACTGAATAGCTTAATAAAATAAAAAGACTACTGTTTAATCCTATATAATAAAAGGCTAGTATGCAAATTGTCCCCTCAGGAGTTCAACCGAGAGTTCAATC